TACCGATAAATTCCACGCTGCACAGACCAGTTGTTCGGTAACCTGAAAAATCAAATGGCTCCTTATTATACGCCATACAACGGTATATTTTTATTCTAAGCACCTGTTGGGTACATGAAGAATCAATTACCATATGAATGTTCGGCGACATTATTTAATTTTTAATGATCGTATCTTGTTTACCGGTTGAAAATTATGCGTACCTTGTCTTCAGCGGGATTTTTTCTCCACTGTGTGCTTAAGTTAGCTGGTTGCGAGATGTATATTGTTTCGTCTGAGGTTATTGCAGGGTAATTTCAAAAGAAAGTTGTGTTATTTTTTTTTAACTTGTCTGGATATTGTGGCAGCACTGCGATAATTAGAAATCTACTTTGAAAAGGTCAGTGGCTCGTAGATGGCGCTGCAGTTGAATGCTTATATACCGGGTGTTTCAAATTTGACTGGTCAGAAAGTTTCGAAATTCAAAGTACTTATGAAGAGAGGCGGATATAATCGAATTTGCCCAAAATCGTTTTACTTATTTGTAGTCGGATTTTAAAATAAACTGCACATTAACTTGCCACTTTTTCTCCTCTAAAAGATGGCATAATTACTATTTCAATATGACGATTAGTCTCTAGTCCTGTATCAAGTTTTTTTTTCTTTAGGGCGCCATATTAGATTTTTGCATAACTTTAAGATTCGATAGAACTTTTAAAATTAATGCATAAAGTCTATATAAACATGGGTCGAAAAATGGGTGGCTTCCGAAATACAGGGTGTTTAAATTTACTTTCTAAAATAGTTTTTTTTAAATATTTCGAACAATATTTGATGTATAACAGTGAAAATTGGTATACAAGTTTTTTTTTGGTACGACAAAACGAACCATGGGCATAGTTTTACTGTAGCTGATAAAATAAGGCCTTATTTGAATAATGCTATACCACGTTCGATCATTCGTAGATGTGAATTGTGTACTGAACAATTGGGTTTACATTTCGAGCGACTACTTTAGATTTTGTATGTTTGTCCTAACTATCCAATAGCATTTTAGTTGTAAATAATTTAATTTGTTAAAAATAATATTGGAAATTAAACAAATTAATATTCTGTTTTTTGTGCTTATTTGGAGTTAGGAATTATTGCTGTGTTTAAAAACACAATCTAAACGATCATCTTAATTACTTGTAATGCTCAAATCGAAAATGTAAAAAAAATATTATTTTCCCATAAATAATTAAAAATGCATCGGACCTTAAAAATCGAAATATCTCAAAAACGACTAACTATAACGAAAACTCAAAGGAGAGCTTTTTTATGTTGAAAAGTGCGAAGAATCAGTTTTTTTAATCAAAAAGCAAAACATTGCACTAAGAAAAAATTTTCGGTCATTTTAATACACTACAGGTACAGTAGAAAGCGCCCTCTAGCGGCTACAGTACATGGTTCGTTTTGTCGTACCAAAAAACCCTTGTATACCAATTTTCACTGTTATACATCAAATAATGTTCGAAATATTTTAAAAAAACTATTTTAGATAGTAAATTTAAACACCCTGTATTTCAGAAGCCACGCATTTTTCGACCCATGTTTATATAGACTTTATGCATTAATTTTAAAAGTGCTATCGAATCTTAAAGTTATGCAACAATAAACTGAAACACCCTGTATATGTCATGCATTGACATTTCCAAACCTGAGTTATTTAAAAAACAGAATTTCCTAGGAAGACTCAAATTACCAGGTAGTCATTTCAACCTAATTTTCACCAGTCTGATTAACATGAAAATTTGCACAGGGTTCAAGAGCCGACTTGAATTTTAAAATTAGGAAGAAGCAATTGGGTTTGATAATTTGGAAATAGTTTTTTGTAAATAATTGTAAGATTTGAAAATTTTGAAAAAAATCGGAAATTATGAAATTTAATTTTTTTTTTGAAGTTTTGAAATTTTGAATGAAATTTGGAAATTGATAAAATTTTATTTTAATAATCTGAAAAAAATTGAATGTTTTCTTGTCGTTTTGAGACTAACAATTCAGAAAATAAATTACAGGTTAACAAAAACACGCGAATCGAACAAAAAATTGAAGAAGTTCCACTTGAAAATTTGCACAGCGCTGATGAAAATACAATAATCTTAAAAATATGTACTTCAAAATTTAAGGGTCGAATTTGAAGCACCTGGAACTAACCTTTCCAAACTAGATTTCTAATTATTGCGGAGAGCTGTGAATATTTTTAAATTTTGTAAAAATATTGGTAATTTCGAAATTTGTAAAAAAAAATAATTTCCAACCTAATATTGACCAATTTTAAGATGTCTAAAAAACTGAAAATTTGGGCAGGGGTCAAGGGCCGATGACAATACGACAATCTTAAAAAAATTCGAATCTCAAATTTTTTCAAAAACCTGTATATTTAAACTTGGAATTGGATTTAAAAATTTGGAAAATTCGGAAATTTGAAAAATAATTTGAAGATTTGTAAATTTAAGATAATGGAAATTTTGAAAAAAATTTGCAAACTTTGAAATCCAAAAAAAATTGAAAATTTCGACCAAACTTTGACCAATTCAAGAAGTCTGATTTTTAAAAACTTGAACTTTGAAATTGGATTTTAAAATCTGGAAAATAATTGGAAAACTCGGAAAACTGTAAAATTATTTGAAGATTTGGAAATTTTGAAAAAATGGGAATTTCATTCTAATTTTGATCAATTTCAAGGATTATGATTAACTTGAAAATTTGCACAGGGGTCAAACGACGATGAACTGCAATCTTGGACAAAAAATCGAATTTGGAAAATAATTGGAATGTTCGGAAATCAGGAAAATAATTTGAGGATTTGGAAATCTTGAAAAAAAATTTTTTTTTTTTGAAATTCGTCAATTTGGAAATTTCGAATTTTAAACTTTTGTTATAAATTTTGAAAAAATTTGGGAGTAAAACATTTATTTTCAAATATAAAATATACCAAAAATCGAAGCTCTTGATTACAGGTACTTTTGTAGTCGTTTTGAGACAAAAACCGAAAACAAATTAGTTTAAAAAACTAAAAAAACACGCTTCAGTAGCAAATCGAACAAAAATTTAGTGAATAACACCAATTTGAAGAAGTTTAACTTCAAACTCTGCACAGGGCCTAAGCGCCGATGAAAAAACAATAATCTAAGAAAAATTTAATTTTAAAATTTTAGTGTCGAATTTGAAACATCTGGGATAGTTGGCACTCACATTTTCTAACTAGATTTGTAGTTATTGTGGAGAGGACAAATTATTATAGATAACGCTCTCATATCTTAATTTGTTTGGATGATTGTATTTAACAGTCTTTGATAAAAATTCTTTGTTAAATAACTGCTAGATCGTTGATATACAGGGTGTCCGCAAAGTTGGGGTTTTCCTTTTCAGAAACAACTACCCTTGAAATAACAAAGGTCATGTGTAGTGAAACGAGGGCGACCAAGTAAAAAAAAATAAAGAAAAAAGTACTCACTCTCTAGTTGACGAGAAGGGCTAAGTACGTCTCTGCCCGAAATCATACCGCTCCAACAGAAAATGAAATCAGCTCATGCGCTACCGAGCAGGCGCCGGCGGTGGTGCAGACCAAACAAATAAGACGACGTTGCCGCGTTTTCAGTTTTTAGGTAAACGTACTTTATAGGTATTGTTCGAAGTTATCGCCGTTTGATTCAAAAACACAGGTGCGTGCACGACGTAGCCAAGCATCGGTGCAGGCTTTGAGAATGGAGTCACTCCCCCGAATGAAAGCACCAGCTTGTTCAATTCTGAGACGAAGTTCGTCAACTTTATGCACTTCAGTTTTGTACACTAAGCGTTTCATTTCTCCCCAAAGAAAAAAATCACATGGTGTTAAGTCTGGAGATCGCGGAGGCCACGCTACGGGTCCATTACGTGCGATCCACCTATTCGGAAATAATTCATTCAAAAACTTCGCGTCTAAAATGGGGCGGTGCACCATCGTGCAGAAACCACATTGATTGTCTTACACTTAATGGCACATCTTCTAACAAGGAAGGCAAAATGTTGCGTCTAGGTATTGCATCCCGCCCAATCGGTTTGGGAGAATAAATCGTCCAATGAGCATACCGTTCACCATGCCAGCCCAAACACTCACCGAAAATGTTTGTTGAAAATGTGCCCGACGGACAGCGTGCGGATTTTCTACTGACCAAACATGAGTATTGTCATGTTGATGCAACAACCACTCACAAAACCGCACTCTTGCTGGAAAATCGTCAGGTTGAAGGGCTTGTACACGTTGGACGTGAAACGGATACAGCCCCTCTTCACGCAGCGTTTGCCACACTTTAGTTTTTGATACTTGCACTTCTCTAGCCACGTCTCTAGTGCTTGTTGAGGGATTCTCGTCTACGCGATTCAGTAGTTCTTCCTCAACTTGCACCATTCGTGGTTGTCTAGGCCTCCCACTGTGCCCACCTCGAAATTCCTCCAAATGGCCCGTATCCCTGACTCTCTGGACCAGGTACACAGATCTGCGGGGCCTTGGATGATGTCGTCTAGGGAAACGATCTGCATACACTCGCGACGCTTCTGTAGCATTTTGAAGACATTCGCCATAAATTAACAACATATCAACGAGTTCATTATTGGTGTATGAGTGTGCCATTATTATTTTTTTTTTGAAACAATTGATTATACGGGTTCGTTACCTCTACACGCGTGACCGTAACCGTCGGTTGAAGGTTGCATACTGACCTGACACACTGACCCCGACCCCCGACCCAGTTCTGTCGTCGGGTTGAGCTAGTAGCCGGTACCTGTCGGGGATATCGCGGCGGGTCGCGGTTACAGGACGGTATTTAGATATTTTTGTTGTTGCAGAGCCCTTTATCTCGGTTCCCTTAAGACATTGGTGTATAGGGTACTAAGAAAAATTGCTTATGTTTTCAAGATCTACACGTCGTGTAAAGGAAAACCCCAACTTTGCGGATTTTAGTCAGATTTCGTTAAATTTTCACTTCGTTTTCTTCCAGAGATGAACTCGGATTTTATGCCGAAAGCGAAAGAAAAGCATCACAATGACAGTGAAACGATATGCTTCGAGGGTTCATCACACCAATCTACTCTTTTGGGCGGGCTGAACTCGCTTAGAGAAAAAGGGGAATTGTTAGATATTACTTTAGTTGTTGGTAAGTTATTTACTTTCTACATAATTTTATTTCTATAATTTCGATATATTCCTCAAGCATAACAAAATATTAATTAATTAATGTACTTTTTTTGCAGAAGGAAGATTTTTCCGAGCTCACAAAGCAGTATTAGCAGCATGTAGTGATTATTTTCGAGCCATGTTTACGGATAGTATGCTGGAAGCCAGGCAAAACGAGATATGCCTGAATGGCATCACCGCTACAGGTTCGTCGAGCATGCATTAATAGTATAGCTGTTGTTCTTCCGATCACGGACAGCTGTTTAGGGCTATTTGTCAACTCCTCAGCTGTTCATGGTTGGTAGTCTGTGGTTGGTCGAACTATATCACCAGAATCGACGGCATCTAGCGGTCACTGTGATGCTAACTTAGATTCAATTCCAACAGACAGCTTGCGGTTTTCACTCTCGTAGTGGTCGATTCTGGTAATAGATGGCACTTATTTCGATTAATGCATTTTAGAGGATAGTGACTTGATGACGATTTGTCCATGTTTTTTGTAGGTTTTCAGCAAATTCTAGAGTACGCTTACACATCTCGTATCACAATGAATCTGGCAAACGTTCAGGATGTTCTGGATACTGCCTCGCATGTACAAATGGTCGATATTATCCAAGCGTGCGCAGATTACCTTCAATCGCAAATCGACATTGACAACTGCGTCGATATTGCCACAATAGGTAAGGATTTCAAAGTTTCCATCCAAACAAACAATAAAAATCGATCATTTTAATTGGATTTTCGAATTAGTCATTATTTAAATGGGTAATAGGGGGGACACAGCAAGTCAAAAAGTCCATATGACCCATGGTCCAAAACTCAGTAGATTTTTGTCTAAATGGCTTTATAGTTTAAGTGCTTTATATCGACCACAATCACAACAATCTTACTAATTTTTATAATCTAATCTGAAACGTTTTTAAATTTGATAATTAACAAATAAATGGCATTAAGTTTTTCTAAGTTAAGCCAAAATTTGTAGTCAGTAAGTAAGTAAGTTTCATAAAATTAAATACTTAAAACACACATGACAACAGCGCGTCGACCTTTCATCACTCTTATCGACCCGGCAATCGATCGCAAACGGTAACAGTGGTTAATTATCGGGCATCGCGGGCGTGTGGTTTTGTTTTTGTTCGCGTACGTCGTCGTGTTTATTTACCAAACTCCATCTTTATTTACACTGCGTTTCGTCGTAATTTGCGTCTGGCATTGCGGCGTTGTCAGATTTTATTTTAGTTTAAAGTCGCTTTTCTCTATAAAAATGCCGTTTTGACCCCCATGTTATAAGAAACTTTTCTGTATCACCCATTTAAATAATGACTATCATAACATTTACTATTTATTCCTTATACCATTGATTGAAATATTATTTCTATTCTGAAAATGCGAAATCTTAGAAATAATTATGAGGAAGGTTGAGACTGATATTTCCTTAGAAAGGAAAATCGACTTTATTTGTTATTGCTCCTAAAAGAATTGCTGTAATTCTTTCTTGGCAACGTTGCTGTGATGATGGAAATTGTTTAACAACGTATATTGAGCAACTTATTTAACAATACGTTAATAAATGCTTATACTCAAAATAATCAAAACCTAATTGTAAAAGTACTGCGTTGGCAGTGATTAGTCTTTTTAAAATACTGAAATTTATTTGCAAATGAAATAAAGAACATGTTTTGTATTTTTGTTTATATTAAATATTAATTTATGTATTTTCATTCTCATTTCTCATACCTTTTTTTATTTTTCTAGCGGAAAGGTATTCCCTGACGTTTCTGCTCCTGAAAGTGTACAGATTCATGAGCGGCCATCTGTTAGAATTCTCAAACAGTACCGAGTTTTATAGACTGACAGCGCAACAATTAGAAAAATTACTAGTCTACGACTTTCCTGTAGATTGCTCAGAAGCAGACGTACTAAGTATAGTGCTCAGGTGGATTTTTCACCAGGAACCTAATGAGTAAGTTCATCTCTATACAGGATGTCATCAATGTTGAGACTTTCTTTTACACGGCGTGTAGATCTTAGAGAAATAAGCGTTTTTTTTTCTAGTAACATATACACTAAAAGCCGAGATGTTAGACTCCGTAAAATCAATCAAACCTACACAAAACTAAATCCGGTCCTGCAATATATAGTATTTTAATTTACGATGAGCGTCTTCGAAATGCTACCGAGGTTTCGCGAGTGCATGCAGATCGTTTCTCAAGATCTTGGTGATTATTTTTTTGTATGGAGCAAAATGAAATGTTTGGCTACGTCGAACACAAGAATGATTAAATGAATAATTTATTAATTGACAAGTGACTGAAAAACCGTCGGTTGATTTATTTTTATTTTCAAATCTACTTAACTGTTATTCAAAGTTTTTGATTTGGGGTGGTCGCAGATACATTTTTTATGTATCTCGGTCGTAATAAGAGTTTATGCCATTTGGTGCGCTTGATATTTGATCTAATTTCATATATCTCGTAATTTTCAGGTTAGATGTTCGGTTAGACCACGCATTTCGAATGATGCGTTATATACATTTCAATGAAATATCCCGTAAGAAGTTGGATATTATATTAAATAAACTGGAAGAGGACAGAAGGTGTGATTGGGAACTGTACAAAATCATCCTGCAGGAGTCGACTAGGGATTGCGGGAAATATGGGATCAACTCCAATTTGTTAAATTCAAGAGGTAATTTATAAGAAACGATAAATGTATGTATGGTGTACCACAATGTAGTATACTAGGTCCGCTACTATTTGTTTTATATATTAATGACATTTGTGGGATTTTAGATTATTATGAAATTCAGATTTTTGCAGATGATACATTAATATACATATCAGATGAAAATATAGACACTGCTTTAAAAATGCTAAATTCTGAATTGGTAAAAAAACATAAATTGGTTAAATGTAAATAAAGTAAAATTGACTGCTTCTAAAACAAAATGTGTGCTAATAGGAAAATGCCTAAATGAAAATACTATCACAGTTAGGATAGATGGTGAAATAATTGAAAGTGTTGAAACAATTGAATATTAATAATTAGGTATATATATATAGGTGAAAAATTAAAGCTTCCGCCTTTTGTTGGGTACTTCGACAAAATTTAAGGAAGGATTACATCACACAAAAGTGATGCTAGGCTTCATCCTGAAAGATGCGCTCTAGCATCTCATGTTAACACAACAGGGCATTCTATGAATTACACAAGTATCAAAGTTCTTGATGAAGAAAAACACCTTTCCAAACGTTTATTCCTGGAAATGTCCCACATTTTCATGAATAACAACTGTATCAACAAAAAGACAGATATTAAACAACTGAGTGTCATTTACTCATATTTGCTAAACTGCGAAAAATTGGAGAACTTACATATCTCCGCAAATTTCGACTTTTCACAACCACAAATATAATCTGTGTTTTGGCCGATTCCACCAACAAATTTCATTCCACTCAAAATCTAATAATTCTCTTCTCACGATTTATTAATAATTATTAATTTAAAATTCCCATTAATTAAAATATAGTTTATTCAACTGCCTCTGGTCGGTTTAACAATTTCTTACATAACATTCTGAAAATCACATCATCTGAAGTGATTTGGCAACGTTTTGGCACACGCCCACAATTCGTTCCATCTTTCAACACAGACATTGACAACCTTCGGCCTTCTGTCAAAGGTTCATCTCACTCATTATTCCATGACCACCATTTTGTGCAATCATCAAGTGGCTTCACGACGTAATGCTCTAATGTTTTCTAAATAATTTTTAATCTGTCTTTAACTTGTCTTGTCATATTTTATATAATTTTAACCATTGTACCATGTATCCAGCTCTCACCATGTTACTGGACGTTTCCCTCATCCTATACGAAAACAACAATTAGCAACATCCTCACATACTACTGTAAGTTGATTCAATTTAAATTCATTTTACACTTTTGTTGCTACTGTTATCATTGTAATTGCAGCTCCTGATGATGATGGCAAAGTCCATTGAAAGCTAGAGAGAATTAAAAAAAGTATAAAGAGTCCTCTTTGCTTAAATTTTGTCGTACCCAACAAAAGGCGGAAGCTTTAATTTTTCACCTAACTGGTCTAGACGACAATGACCACGTCTCAAGTTATATATATATATATATATATTCATAGTAAACTAAAGTTTGAGGACTACCACTACTATTTCATAAATTGCCAAAAAAACTCATAGTTTTAGTACATATTCCAAAAAAATTGTTTATAATACAATATTATTTTACCCCATTTACTATATTGTTCAAATATCTTGTCCACTGCCAGTGAAGCTATGACAATAATATTGAAAATAAGAACACCAAAATAAAATCTATTCCACAACAAATACGGTAGTTGAACATAAAAAATTTCATATCATATTTGGTTCTTATTTTTATATTTAAAATAGAAAATCATCTGTTGATGTAACATTTAGAACACTAAATTGAATTGAATAATCATTACCACAACTATTGTACAAGAGGAAATATAGATTTTTATTTACAAAATTGCAATAATATTGTCTAGCAAATCAATATTTCAGAAAGGATTACTTGAATTTAATGTTGCCTAAAAGAAAATAGAAGGAATATTTCATGGACAATTAATAATTAAAATCGTTAGAAAATTTTGTTTTTGTTATGAAATTGTTGTAGTCTTTCAAAAGAACGTCATTGTTGCGATCACGCTAAATAAATTTAAAAAAAAAACAAAAGTGGTATACATTTTCCTCTTTTCCAGGTATGGAATTGGCTCTGTTAAAGATCGGTGGATTCGGCATTTGCGGCGTCACCAACGAAATAACGTACTGTTTTTCATTGGGCAACAAATGGAAACACCTCACCTCGATACCTCACGTAGAACAATGCAATTTTGGTACAGCCGTGTTGAACAACGAACTGTATGTTGTTGGTGGTTGTTTCGACCAGGCTTTGCAAGAAAATATCCATCCGTTTGGATTTAAATACAGTCCAGGGTAAGCAGGTTGTCTATGAATATATCGTTTGACGAGCTTTCTTGTATCCCTTTCTCTCCATTGAGGGAAATACAGCGTGGCAAATTATTAATATTCTTTAGTAGTCGGTGATCAGAGAATATTTTGTTGTACATCCTTGAGAAAAAAATTAACATCTTTGAAAGCTTGCCACATAATTTATGATTTATATTTACGTAGAAGCAGTAGAGGGAGATCTTTGACGTTTTGCAGAGCTTTATTTGGCTGTTTCGTCTTCTTGCACAAGCTTTTTTTATAGATACAACAAATGGTATACAATAGCTCCAATGACAACGGAAAGGTGTCGATTCACGTTGACAGCACTGGATGGTGCTTTATTTGCTATAGGCGGAGTTAGTGAAGAGGATGGATGTATATTTACCAGTGAATGTGAATATTATGAACCCAGTGATGATAATTGGTAGGTGGAAAAAATTTACGTAAATTCAATAAAAAATAGTTTTAAAAAACTTAAAAGACACGCTTTAAACTAAAAGTAGAAAATAATGTTCAAGTATAGTAATAGAATTGCCAGCAATCAAGTAAGGCTAATCAATTTAGAGTAAGACCAATATAAAAATTATCAACAAAAAATCAGTTACAGTAAAAAACCGTGAGGTGGTTGATATTACATGTTAGAATTATTTTTTTAGTTAATATTTACAAAATTATACGCTTTTTTACTATTATTGATTTTTCTGTTAAAACCTTTATTTTTTTATTGAGTTTATCCCATATTAATTAGTCATATTTGGTTATTGTACTTTTTATTGCAGTAAGAACACAAACTATCCTTTACTTGAAAATTATTTTAGCTTTTAGTTCGGTTTGCATTTAAAGCGTTTTTTTATTTGTTTATTTTTCTGAATTTTTAGTCTCAAAACGACAACAAAAGTACTTTTAATCAAACGCTTCGATTTTTGGTATATTTGACAATAAATCTAAATTTACTTTAAAATTTTTGCAAATTCCGAAATTTCCAAAATATTTTAGTTTTTTTCAGAATTTCCAGATCTTAACAAATTTCTGAATTATAAAATTATCTTCCAAATTTTCAATTCAATTTTCTTACAAATTTAACAATTTTTTTTTTTAATTTTTAAATTCGATTTTTTTCCAAGTTGATCAAAATTCTTGAAATTGGTGGAGATTAGTTACATACATAAAGGTCATGCTAATAAAAAAGTCTTAAAAATTAACTAAATTTTCAAGGTGTGCTTTTATCAGATCTACTTATTTCTTTTTTATACTGTTTTTCGTAAAATAATGTTTTATTGACAAGAAAATACAAAACAAACAAAATAGAGTTTCTTAAGATATTTTAGTCACGAGTGGTGTGTACATTTTTGGTTTTCAGGTATTCTATGGAATCGTTTTTCAAAATTTCCAGATCTTAACAAATTTCTGAATTATCCAATTATCTTCCAAATTTTCAATTCAATTTTTTTACAAATTTAACATTTTTTTTTTATTTTCAATTTCGATTTTTTTCCAAGTTGATCAAAATTCTTGAAATTGGTGGAGATTAGTTACATACATAAAGGTCATGCTAATAAAAAAGTCTTAAAAATTAACTAAATTTCCAAGGTGTGCTTTTATCAGATCTACTTATTTCTTTTTTATACTGTTTTTCGTAAAATAATGTTTTATTGACAAGAAAATACAAAACAAACAAAATAGAGTTTCTTAAGATATTTTAGTCAGGAGTGGTGTGTACATTTTTGGTTTTCAGGTATTCTATGGAATCGTTTTTCAGAATTTCCAGATCTTAACAAATTTCTGAATTATCCAATTATCTTCCAAATTTTCAATTCAATTTTTTTACAAATTTAACATTTTTTTTTTATTTTCAATTTCGATTTTTTTCCAAGTTGATCAAAATTCTTGAAATTGGTGGAGATTAGTTACATACATAAAGGTCATGCTAATAAAAAAGTCTTAAAAATTAACTAAATTTCCAAGGTGTGCTTTTATCAGATCTACTTATTTCTTTTTTATACTGTTTTTCGTAAAATAATGTTTTATTGACAAGAAAATACAAAACAAACAAAATAGAGTTTCTTAAGATATTTTAGTCACGAGTGGTGTGTACATTTTTGGTTTTCAGGTATTCTATGGAATCGTTTTTCAGAATTTCCAGATCTTAACAAATTTCTGAATTATCCAATTATCTTCCAAATTTTCAATTCAATTTTTTTACAAATTTAACATTTTTATTTTTATTTTCAATTTCGATTTTTTTCCAAGTTGATCAAAATTCTTGAAATTGGTGGAGATTAGTTACATACATAAAGGTCATGCTAATAAAAAAGTCTTAAAAATTAACTAAATTTTCAAGGTGTGCTTTTATCAGATCTACTTATTTCTTTTTTATACTGTTTTTCGTAAAATAATGTTTTATTGACAAGAAAATACAAAACAAACAAAATAGAGTTTCTTAAGATATTTTAGTCACGAGTGGTGTGTACATTTTTGGTTTTCAGGTATTCTATGGAATCGTTGCCTGTAGATCTAAGCCAACATGCGGCTACTGCTATAGACGGAGGTTTCTCGAAAAGTGAGTAAAAAAATTGTTTTCTTCTAAACGATTGAAAAAGCACAGTGTGTACTCACTTTTCTGTACCCTATTTCCTGTCTAGACTTGGCACTCGTTTTATAAATTGTGAGTCTGTTTGGGTACTTGTGAATCTAAAAACCATGTTTTATCAATTTCATTGATATACAGTGAACGACTGAAAGTGTCCATTCAAGAGGCGTGTGCGTATAAAAGAAATACAACAAAAATCGTGTTTTTAATGATAACTGAATATATTAAAGTAACTGGGACATTTAAAACGTATATATTATATAAATGTTTTTTTTTTCACCTTCCTTCTCGAGTCTGAATCGGGGCGGGGTGTTTTGACGTCGGCGCGGTTTTCCGCGTTTTTGGCGGTTCACGATAGGTTTTATCGGAAAACGATACCGTTTCGGAAACTAGAAACTCGGCGCTTTACGAGAGACTACAAACCGTCGAGGTATGAGAACGAAATGCGATCAAAAACGGCGGTTAAATTGGAAAAAACGGGTTTTTTCGCGTAGTACGAAGACTTTTTTAAGCTACGTTTCGCCGTTTATCAAAATATCGACTAGAGATCGGTCTCATTCGATAGCTAAATGACGAGCGGGTAGTATAGCGTAGCTCCTGTTTTGATTCGCATCTTACTTTTTCTTTGGGAATTTTCAAAGAAAAACCGAGAAAAATGGTGAATTTTCGTAAAAACTCCGATATCTCCTTCATGCCAAAGAGAAAAGAAATTTCGCATAGCCCATTTTGTACATCTCGACGAATACTATAAATTACCAAGTACGAGTTTTTTTCGTTTAGGGCACCCGTTTCGAATAAAAAATTTTCAAACGTCGAAAAATTGGCCTTATTTGGGTCTCAAACGTGCTGTTCGATATTCAATTTCTATCTCCTCCGAAGATAACGGAGCTACAGACCTAGCGATTTTTGCGTGAAGAAGCCCACTTTCCGGACTCCAGAATGCAAGTATTTTCATCTCTTTATTCCTTCCCGTTCAAAAGTTTAGATTTTTTAGAGTTTCTTGACAAAATGTCGCTTTTCGAAACATGACCCTCTTTGCTTTCGATTTTTTCATACTTTCGATTCAAGTTTTGCAAAGTGTTATATCCCGTTTTTATGAAATGATCTTCCACACTTGATTCACGGTATTCGTATGATTTTTTAATATTTGAGAAAAAATGCAAAATGTCCCAAAAATGTATTATTATAATTTCAATTTAAGAGCCCACCTTCCCCTCAATTCCCTTTGGCACGTTTGCTACCTGTTAGGCGGGGTATTGTAGGTATGAAAATATTACAAAAGCAATCGCGTGCTAGCGGAACGTGTAAACGTGCCATTTTCGGCTTTATGACGATCGCTTCATCCAATATTGGATCAGGCCTTACATTGTCCTTTTTTAGGCATGAAAATAAACATTTTTGAATAGATTCCGAATTTCTATATTCTAAAACTACCAAGCTATAACAATAATAACAAACAAGCACGTCATATGAAGCCATGATGATCAAAATACGTATATCACAACTAAACCTCCACGCTGCACGCACCGCATAATGCACCACGAAGGGAGATTTCACTGAATATCCCCGATTTTGCCAGCGACTTGGCCATATCTTTTGTTTACATTGACCGCACAGGTCAGTCAATGTAGGCAAAACATTATCTTCAGGTAGATTACCATGGTCATTATCTCTCGCAGGAGGACGTTTGTTTATCAGCGGCGGCATAAGCCACGAAGGCGTTCAGAGCCAGCTCTATTGCTACGACGTGACCAGCAGCAAGTGGAGTCGATGTGCGCCGATGATAACGCCGCGTGCGGATCACGCTATGTTGACCATAGGAAAGAAACTGTACGTTTGCGGCGGATGGACGGAAGACGACGAGTTTAGAAGGAACCTGGTGGAAACTATCGATGTGTATGATATAGAACAGGATTGCTGGCAGGTAAAGCAGTGTAAAGATCCTTTCTTTTCATAGATATTATAGAGAGCAAAATCGAGAAAATGTTCACCGATTTTGATGAAAAGCTATTGCGTTTTTGTTGTGGAGCGACTTGCTTACCATTTCCAAACTTCAACTCCCCGTATACTTTTAAAGAAGCCTTCGGTGAAAAAATGTTACATTTGAGACCCCCCTTAAAATACGGTCCTGTGTATGATGTTTCATTTTTGGTCACGACTTGTGAATCACCCTGTATCATATACATAAGATTGACGTTTTAAGCATCCCACAAACCGGCGCGAAATATTCGCTTTGGCTGCGAAAATTTCGCGGCGATGAATTCGCGATCAGATTAAAACGCGGCAGTTTACGGACAGGCTCAGACTTGTGCGAAGCGAATGCGATTGTTCCAGCGTTTTTATCGCTGCGTATTTCAGTTCGCCTTTGACCGCGTTTTTGACGCCGTTCTTCAAAAATTCGCAATGGCAAAAACGGAATTATTGATAGAAATAGTGAAAAAGTATCCTTGTTTGTATGATTTGTCGAACGATGAATACAGGAATGTGAGAAAGAAAGACAAGATTTGGATGGAAATAGGAAAAGAATTAAATACAAATGGTATGTACCTAATATTTTTTATTAACTTGTTAAATAATTTACAGTCTACACAAATGTGAAAACGAACATTCTATATATTGGGCATAGGCATATCAGAATTAAAATAATTTACGAATTTGTCACGAGTAGAAAATGCTAGCCTTGCTGCCCGCCGAGGATCATTTGCTATATCAGTAAAAGCTCCAAGCACGGGTTCTGGGGGATCTAAGAATTGAAAATATTTGTAATCGCCACTTTTACTTCGTAAAAAATAAAACACATGCCGTACGTACAATTAGAATAGTAGTATCTACTTTAGTTTCTAATGGCCTGTAAAATATTCGCCATTTTTGAGACAAAATACCAAACGCATTTTCCACGACCCTTCTAGCTCGACAAAGTCTTACATTGTATTTCTCTTTTCTGACGTCTGTTAAAGTCTGCTTATAAGGAAATGGTCTCATAAGGTATGGTTTTAAAGCAAATGCTTCATCACCAATTAAGACGTACGAGCAGATTTCATTTTGTCCAGGGAGAAATCTAGGTGCAGGGACACTCGTTAAATTTTGTTCAAATCGTTTTCCCATGTTTGAGGTTTCGAAAATACCCCCATCACTATTTTTTCCGAAACCACCAATATCAACACATATAAATTTATAGTCCGGGCCAACAATGGCCATAAGTACTATTGAATATTTATGTAAATAGCACCAGTAATTGGAGCCACTGTTGTTAGGTCTCTTGATTGTTACATGTTTACCGTCCACGCTGCCAATGCAATTTGGAAATCCCCATCTATTTTCAAATTCTTCAGCACATTTTTTCCATATATTCTCTGTTGGTTCTGGTAAATATATATGCTCCATATGTCTGCATATCGCTTCACAGACTTCGGTTACGATTGCACTCACTGTTGTAAAGCCAACTCGAAAGCTATGCCCAATGGTATAGAAGGTGTCACCAGTGGCAAGGAATCTATAAAAAAATGGTTTTTAGGTGATGAAGTAAAAAAAAAGGTGGAAGAATATCATAGACACATTTGCAAAATATATAAAATCTACCAAACCAAAGACCGGCCAAGCAGTGGGCAACATAAAAAAATGGCAGTGGGCTGACTACATGGAATTTTTCCGTCCTTTTTTGGCATTTGCCAAAACGTCGTCTAATGTGAAAGATATTGACGTCATACATTATGAGACTGCCGAATTTAACTCAAATATATATCAGGAAAGGGCTGGAAATGTAGAAACCGAAAATTTGGAAGACCGCGGCCATGGAGAAGATGAAAATGCTGATGTAGATGCAGAAGATGCACAGAACGCCTCGGCAACACAGACAGCACCACCTTCTTCATTGAACACTACAGCAGTGACTACTCCAGGGCACACCTTTCCGCAGACTGCAACTACACCTAAATATAAAACGAGCAGAAAACGCTATGAACCACCATCTTCGTCTGTACAACAGCTCATTAATTATTTTGAAGGTAAAAAACCTAAAAAAGAGAACGAGGCCATTGATTCACTTTTCTTGGCACATGCACAGACTGTGAAAACACTTCCCTTAAAGCGTCAAGCGCGAATAAAACTAAAAATAGTCGAATTAATAGCGCACGAAGAATTTGAACATATTGAAGAGATGTCTTCAGCGTCTACCCAGAATTCTGCAAGTATGTATGATAGTAGTATGTCGTCCTTCCCAAGCGGCACTGGGTTTACTCCAATAATATACCCAACAGAGGAGGCAAATTCTGCCTCGAATTATTTAGCAACATTTAATCCTAGTGGCAACATGTAGTCCAATTATTACAATAAAATATTTATTTGTAGTATTGAAGTTTTCGTATTCGATAAGCCTACTAATTTTAATACATATAATTTTTTTACCTAAGTGTAATAGCAAGTCGTTCTTCTGGCGAAATAGCTTCACGATCATTTGTGTCAGATTTTCGTATTTCATCTTTCACCAAGTTCAATATTTCATCGAAACACTCTGGAGTCATTCTAAAATATACGTAAAAGCGCTGTTCATCCAGCCGAAGTTGTGGCATCAAGGTATGGTATTCCCCAAATTTATTTCGTTCCAAGGTAATATCATGTACCCATTTCCTTCGTTTCCTAAACAAAATTGAAAATATTTGTTTTATGTACTTCGTTAAACTTAATACATACCCAACTATCAAATGGCGTTAAATAAACATAACTTACCGTGCATTTTGTTCCTCTTCTTAAGCAAGAAATAGAAGTGCCTCCTCTTCTTCTGAAGACGAGCTCATTGCAAAAGGCAAAAATAAAATGTATGCAACCTGTCGAAACCTTCACGTTCGCGGAGCGAATAAGACGCTTTGGTATGAATAAACAGGCGAAACAGATTGCGAATTTCGCTCTGAATTTCGTTGCGAATACTTCGCCGTGATTATTTCGCGCCGGTTTGTGGGATGCTTTAGTCTGGATTCTTCAAGAAATTTTTTTGTTACAGGAAGTGACGAAGGTGCCGAATCCCCGTTACCACGCCGGCATAACGTGCGTCGACCGCGCCGTCTACTTCATCGGCGGTTTCCATAACGACGCGATGTTCGATCGACGTACGATGGCGATCGAACATTACGACATCGACCGGGACCGATGGACGACCGAGGAGAAGTACCCGCAAAGGGTGTGGGAGCATACGTGCGCCACCCTGTACGTGCCTAGGTGGAGGGAGGATATGGAAGTTATCGCGGATAGCCCGAGTCGATCTGATAGGTAAGACCTCAAGCATAGCTAAAAGTCTGCTGCCATCTCTGCAAGGAATTTCGTTAGAAAGAAATATTGAGTGTTGATAGGCGGCGTCAGTTGTCGAGACCTTTGGGTGTTGTTACGCTTAACAAAGATTCATATAGATTACTGATTAAGATAGGGCCAACAATATTATATATATATATATATATCCTTTAATTTCTTTGGGTAGAAGACAAAGTATAAAGTTATAACTTAATTCTCAGGGTGCTTCAGTTTATTGTTGCATAACTTTAAGATTCGATAGAACTTTTAAAATTAATGCATAAAGTCTATATAAACATGGGTCGAAAAATGCGTGGCTTCCGAAATACGGGGTGTTTAAATTTACTTTCTAAAATAGTTTTTTTTAAATATTTCGAACAATAATTGATGTATAACAGTGAAAATTGGTATACAAGGGTTTTTTGGTACGACAAAACGAACCCTGGGCATAGTTTTACTGTAGCCGCTAGAGGGCGCTCTCTACTGTACCTGTAGTGTATTAAAATGACCGAAAATTTTTTCTTGGTGCATTTTTTTGCTTTTTGAATAAAAAACTGATTCTTCGCACTTTTCAACATAAAAAAGCTCTCTTGTAAATTTTCGTTATAGTTAGCCGTTTGTGGGATATTTCGATTTTTAATTATTATTTATGATAAAATAACGTTAAAAAGTCAGTATCTCGATAATTTTTAGAAGTAGGCTGTGCCTGCAATTTTTTTTTAAATTGAAAGCAGAATAAGGTTAAACGTCAATTAGTTAATAATAATATAATAATCCTTTATTATCCAATAGACATAAGTATGCATAGGATTCGTCAAAAATAAAAAATCTATAACAAACATGGAAAATAAGTAACAGACAAATATGAGAAACAAACATACCATCTACACATTAACAAACTCTGAAGCAGCGTACAAACATTTATTTAATAAAAAGGCCTTTAACCTATTTTTAGAATGTTGCAGTGAACTGCAGATTTTTATTTCTTCTGGCAGTTTATTATATATTTTAGGCCCCAAAACTCTAGGTGACCTACTACCGACACAGTATTTGGCGGAAGGAATATACATATTTTCACTCTGCCTTGTTATGAAGGCATTTATATCATTGTTAAGTAGTTGTGTATCCTTATTTTGATACATGTATATATATTGAAAGTTCGTATACAAATAGAGAAGGCAAAGTTAAAATTTGGTACTTTTGGAACAGCTCAATACAGCTATGTAATGAGCTTACTCCGGCCATAGATCTTAGAATTATTTTCTGACTTAAAAAGACATTGGTCGATACTCCCCAGAAGCACAAACCATATTTCAGCCTAGACAGTTAGTTTTGTTGTCTGTTGAAACCTGAAACCTTTTTTTGTAATTGTGAATGCACGAAATTTAGTTTCTTTTAACTGTTTTTTTTTTGTAAGTTTTATAAAAATGCCATTTTTATTCTCCAATCAAGAGTTAGCGGATATTCATTTTGTGTATGGCTTTGTAAATGGAAACGCAGCAGAAGCAGCCAGTGAATACTCACGAAGATTTCCAAACAGACGACATCCAACTCGCTTAGTATTTGTAAGAGTGCATCGCCAAATAATTGAAAATGGTTTTGGAAATCTCTAAAGGGATCAAAACATAAATGTTCGTCAGCGCAGATTTACCCGTATGATTCTGCGTGAGTTTGATAGAGATCCGACCACAAGTGTTAGGAGAGTTTCTGGTGCCTTGGGAATTTCAGCAAGCCATGTTCACCGTGTTCTTAGAAGTGACCATAGAAGTCCTTACCATTTGCAACCTGTGCAAGGACTACAGCCAGGGGACGGAGAACGTAGAATCACATTTTGTCAGTGGATTCTTGATAAAACTGATAATAATAGGGGGTTTTTAAGTAACGTTTTATGGACCGATGAGTCATGCTTCACTAGACGTGGAGTGGTAAATTTTCATAATCAACATGGTCGCATGAAAATCCGCATGCAGTTCGGGAAATGAATTTAGTGTGAACGTGTGGATTAGTATCTACCGTAATCGACTATTTGGACCCTACCTTTTGCCTGCAAGGTTAAATGCTGCGACCTTCTTGGAATTTTTTAAGGTTGAACATGAAAATATGTAGGATGATGTTATGTTAGATTTAAGAAGATTGGCCTGGTTCCAGCTTGATGGTTGTCCAGCTCATTATTCGAGAATAGTTAGAAACTGGCTGGACGAAAATTATCCAGAAAGATGGATCGGCCACGATCCCCGGACCTAAATCCATTAGATTTCTTTTTGTGGGGATTTCTAAAAGAAAAAGTGTACCAGACTCCCGTCAGACACAGAATCAGGAACTACTTTAAATTTTGTATGTATGTTTTAACTATCCAATAGCATTTTAGTTATAAATAATTAATTTAATTTGTTAAAAATAATATTGGAAAATTAAACAAATTAATATTCTGTTTTTTTGTGTTTATTTGGAGTTACGAATTATTGCTGTGTTTAAAAACACAATCTAAACGATCATCTTAATTACTTGTAATGCCCAAATCGGAAATGTAAAAAAAAAATATTTTCCCATAAATAATTAAAAATGCATCGAACCTTAAAAATCGAAATATCTCAAAAACGGCTAACTATAACGAAAACTCACAAGAGAGCTTTTTTATGCAGAAAAGTGCGAAGAATCAGTTTTTTTTTATTCAAAAAGCAAAAAATTGCAGTAAGAAAAATTTTTCATTTAAATACACTGCAGGTACAATAGAGAGCGCCCTCTAGCGGCTACAGTAAAACTATGCCCATAGTTCGTTTTGTCGTACCAAAAAACCCTTGTATACCAATTTTCACTGTTATACATCAAATATTGTTCGAAATATTTAAAAAAAACTATTTTAAAAAGTAAATTTAAACACCCTGTATTTCGGAAGCCACGCATTTTTCGACCCATGTTTATATAGACTTTATGCATTAATTGTAAAAGTTCTTTCGAATCTTAAAGTTATGCAACAATAAACTGAAACACCCTGTTGTATATTATTTATTGAAGCGCTCAAAAAGAGACCTGAAAGGCACTAGCGTCATCTATTAGACATGTAGCGGAATACAGAAACGCATTCAGAAATCTACTTTGAAGAGAGTGTTTGGTTCTGCTAATGCTGATACTAGAATCTTTAATCCCTTTTCAGGTTGGAATACGTTAATCGATGTCGGAGGCAATAGAAAGCCTAAAAAGGGATTAAAGATTCTAGCGCCATCTATTAGACAGTGGCAGGTCCAAACACTAACTCTTTTCAAAGTGGATTTCTAAATTCAATTTTTGCACTGCTGCTATCTCATACATGCCGCTAGCTTTGTCAGTAAAATATTCACCAAATCGCCACTATCTCTTCAGTTGTTTACAATACAAGGTTTGTCCGGAAACTACGTATAAAAGTTTAATAATAACATTATTTTACAATTGTTAATATATTTCAATATGGTCTTATTCAAAGTACTCCCTCTGAGACGAGATGCAATTCTGCCAACGCCGTTTCCACTGTTGATACGATCGCTGAAAGTCTTCAATTGTGAGACTCCTCATCAGTCTTGTCGGTTCTGCCTGGGTGGCTTCCACATCGCTCAAGTGCCGCCTCCGAAGCACCATTTTGCATTTTGGGAACAGGAAGATGTCGCAAGTGGTTAAATCGGGTCACGATGATTGAGCTTCGCCCACAACGAGAGGCGTGTGAGCAGGCGCGTTGTCGTGATGAAGGATCTACCTGCCTCCTTGTGCCAAATCCGGGGTACACGAACTATGAGACGACGCAAAACTTCAATGTAGAAATTACCGTTCACTGTCTGTCCGGAAGGGACAATCTGAACAACTTCCCGAGAATCAACGGAAACAATCAATATTGTTTTCGCATCGGACCTTGATTTTTTCGACTCTTTTGTTTTCGGTTCCCCTGCTTGCTCCCGCTCCATGCTTTGAGATTTTAGCTCCACATCGTATTCGTTGGTACAACAGCCCCCCCTGTCCTCTGCTGCCAACCAATCCTCATAGCAAGCAACCCTCCTTGCATTCTCTTCTGGAGTCAAAAGCTCCGGAACGATTTTCGCGCACACTTTATTCATTTCAAGTTTTTCTGTCAGAATTTCGGGGGAGGGATCGACAGTTCCTCAGCTATCATTCTAAATGTCAATCAACGGTCTTTGACGACACAGCCCCGAATTCGTTCAACATTTCCCTCGATGCGGAGGGACGTCCTGGACGTTGGTCATCTTTCAGATCTTCTCGGTCTTCCCGAAACCTTTTTAACCACTTGTTGACGTTCGTTCCTTCAGAGAATTGACCATTCTTGTCTAGCTTTGCAAGAAACTTGATGTCGATGTGCTGTTCATCGATCAGAGACAGCTCCATGCCGACGGCAGGTAAAAAACGGTTACTTTCAACGAGCACGCGTAAAACCTACTTACTCGCAGAGTGCTCCGGCTCGAACTGAGCATAGAGCGGATTGCATCGTGAGAGGGAACCACCGGGCCACCCCTCCACGACGCCCCGAATTTTTTATACGTATTTTTCGTACAAACCCCGTATATTGGATGATTTTTTTTGATACGATCTTTTAATTCCAGCTCCTGAGTGATCGCTATGGTTGGGCTGCAGATCGATCTTGTGAACAATGCAGTTGTTTACATGGAGATGTAAATGTTTTATATTTTGAATGATACCTATGAACAAATTTTTATATGGAAATGAAGTATTTATTTTATGAACTTTCTGGTTTTTATTTCCCTTACTAGATGCGTTCGTATCTACGGGTTGGTTGGGCGGGGACCCAAATCTGAAATCTCCCAAAAAGTGGAAGGGCATGTGTATTTACTGCACAGATATAATTGGAATTGAGAAGGAATAGTCTTAAATATCGGAAGAGACTTAAGTGACCCAAATACTCCCAACGGACAACGTAGATTAATGTCCTGATAATGTTAGATACAAGTATATACAAAGCGAAATTTACAGATAAAATCCTTGTCTAGTGCGCAATTTCTAACTGGGCTGTATCCTAACCTTTTATGGGCAGAGTGAGGGGAGAAGCTTTGAATAGAATAAAGTAGTTATTAGTATTTGCATATCTAGTTTATCTTACTGTTCATTAAAAGTCTTTGTAGGTAATTGTTTTTAGTACCGACTGTCCTAAAGAAGACGTCAAAATGACAGCCTTTTAAAGGAAGTCTTGTTGTCGTATTTGCCTTGAGGAATCCAACCGAATACCAATAAAATCTAAAAACTTCAGAAAAATTGTTGGACAACATTAAGGTTCTGATGAATTTTTAGACACGCATATCGTTATTTTTGCAATTTTTTTATACGAGTGGTGGAAACATTACCTGTTTTTGATATTTTGCGGGATAGGAGTAGAAATTAAAAACGCATAGAAACTATTTCAAAAACCATTTATTTTTTCAGTTATAAACAGTACCTTACTTCTGAATAAATACATAAACCTATCCTCACTGTTAAAAATAAATATGAAATATGTAAAAGCTATGCCTAATGCCTACTCAGCTCACTCTCATACAATGTCTTAGATACTATTGTAATATTGCACAAATGCTTTACGCCTAGGTAACAATATTTTTCAAAAATATCTTCAACGCAAAGTTTTAGCCAATAATAGAAAAACATAAAAAATGTAAAAAACAACGATAAACGATACATCTCAAACGAATAACTCAGATCTAGAAAAAGATAAAAAACCGAATCTGGATCCATGTGATCGAAAGTCTTAGATTTCCATCGTACTACTTCGTCGTTTTGTTACACAATGTTTTGTACAAGGTTGAAGGATGCACAAAATTAGCTTAACTACATCCATTGCAAATTGATATCCAACAAACAAAGTATCTTTACTGGGCCCATAACCTCACTCAAGTCAATCGTCAGCTACTTGGGCAGTGTTTTCGTAAATGGACAAAGTAAAAAAGTATACTTTGTATATAGTTTTGGCAGACAAAATGCACTTGAAAAAAATCACCGTGGTGACCGAAAAAATGTTTATCACAATAAGGTTTGCGGCAAGTGTTGGTTCTACAAAACATTGCGGAGTAATAAGTAACACATCTGTGCGTATTTTTTATGTACAAAGAAGATACAGGGTGTCCAAATAAGGCATCAAAAATACCCTGTAAAGTAGCAACCTTGATCATGACCTTCAAGGTCATTTTGAGGTCAAGGTAGTGTTCTTTAATGAAGATCATTTGAAAAAATCCAAAAACTATGGAAATTACCAGACATCTCGAAAAATTTGACAGACCTGAGAAGGATCATCTAATTGTGACCTTGACTATGACAGTGTGATTTGAGGGTGAAGACAGTGTATAGAGCAGAAACTTTCATATTTAAATATTGTCCCATGACCTTGATCTTGACAACGATCTTAAGCTTTACGATGATCGCGGATTTGGCAGAGCGTCAAATTACATTTCTGGAAACAATAAAAGGCAAATCCTGTTGAACAACGCATTTGACCTTGAAATGACTTTAAGGGTCAATGTATTAGTGGCTCTTATCTAGAAAGTTGTCGACATAAAGTGGAGACTTGACTGGAAAATTTATTTGACCTTCAAAGGTCCTTAAGGTCGTAATCAAGATCATTGTTAATGAGGCATTTCCGCTCTATACGTTTTCAGTGCCAAAATAAGGCTTCCATCTAAAAAAATAGTCTTGACCTCCAAATAACCTTCAAGATCATAGTCAAGGTCACCTGCTATCCACCCTTTCCAGAAATGTTGCAGTTTGAATTCTGACGATTCATCAATTGTGCCTTATAAATAGTATTTATTGAAAAATATAACGCCATACACAGCTGAAATTTCAACACGAAATACATTTGACCTTCAAATGACCTTAAAGGTCATAGTCAGCGAGATAGTGGCTTACATTCCCTCGTGTCAAGTGAGGAATTGATTTGACCTTCAAAGGTTCTTAAAGGCGTGATCAAGGTCATTGTCAATGATGCAGTTGAACATGAACATTTCAGGTCTATACATTTCCAGCGCCAAAATAGAGGTTTACGTCTTGACCTTGAAATAACCTTCAAAATCATAGTCAAGGTTATCTTTTGGACATCCTGTATAGCTCCAGAAATGTTGGCCTTTGAATTCTGACGATTCATCAATTGTGCCTTATAATAACATTTATTAAAAAAATGAAGCGCGATCCACAATTGTAACTTTAAAGCAAAATACTTTAGCACAGTTGAATTATAGTTTTGGCGCTATATCTATGAAGATATACCTAACTTTTGACACAATTCTAAACTAGGAAGTCTAAAGCTACGGTATATGGTACTGGCAAATTATATACCTGGCATTCATATAGAAACACACAAGGAATTGAAAAAAGTCCTGGTATACACTGAAATGGTCTTCGAAGGAAGATCCCACAGTTTTAACAAAGAGTAGTTATATCAAGAGAAGACGATACAATGAAAATTATCAGCCAGATCTTGCCTACTTTGATGGAAAACAGTACTACATTATTTAAAAATTGACAAAAACAAATTACGTTTGTTTGGCTTCTCATAGTCTTGGTACATATTAAAAAAAATAGTGCATAATACAAATATTGTACCACATTTACTCATTTACAATCTGTTTTTTAAAAAAAACTTTGACGCCCTCTAACGGACAAACGAAGCACGAAATATTGAGACATCCTGTATAATCACCCTTTGGTCTACAATAGAAATCGAAGCATAAAGCCCCCTCCTTAACATTACTTTTAATTCTTACCTAACACACAAAAATATATTTACAACTTTAACGAGCACCAACTTGCAGAGTTGCCATTTTTACTTCGTCAGCCAATAAGAATATACATGTACATAGTACATGTAACTTTATGACTGAATTATCTCCTTAAAAATCGATTTTTCCAGAAACAATGTTGAATACTATCACGTCCTTGATTTCAATTTTGCCTCTGAAAAAAAATTACCTTTCCAGCTCACTTTTGTTGACGGCTCCGTACATTTGGCAACTCTGGACGTCACTAAATAGAAGATCACGTAACAACTAATGTGATGCCACACCACAAAACATCGAAATAACCCAACGAACTCGTGACTACGACGACGTTTTCGTGCTTTTGTCCAAGTACGCTCGGTTCCTAAGTTTGTCCGTATCAGAAGTGGTGTAGCCGTTTGTCATCGGTTTGACGTTTGACGTCGAGTCGTCGTACAGTGCCGTTTGGGAAGTGAAGCAGATTCCGATGTTGGTCTTGCCGTTCTTGACGTTGCCGTTTGCGTCGTCCTGTAACAATAAAATAATCAAAATCATCCATTTGACCATAAATACAGATATCACTATTTGTTTACAAAATTTCCACTTCAGAAATTCGAATGTTAGGGTATTTTGCGCTGTTGCCATCATTCGGAGGTGGAAAGCCGAACAAACGTTCGTTGTCGTGGATCGTTGATATGTATGATATTTTAAATGTTAACACGGGCTGACATAGAATATATATATATATATATATATATGTATATAACTTGTGACGTGGTCATTGTCGTCTAGACCAGTTAGGTGAAAAATTAAAGCTTCCGCCTTTTGTTGGGTACTTCGACAAAATTTAAGCAAGGAGGACTCTTTATATTTTTTTTAATTCTCTCTAGCTTTCAATGGACTTTGCCATCATCATCAGGAGCTGCAATTACAATGATAACAGTAGCAACAAAAGTGTAAAATGAATTTAAATTGAATCAACTTACAGTAGTATGTGAGGATGTTGCTAATTGTTGTTTTCGTATAGGATGAGGGAAACGTCCAGTAACATGGTGAGAGCTGGATACATGGTACAATGGTTAAAATTATATAAAATATGACAAGACAAGTTAAAGACAGATTAAAAATTATTTAGAAAACATTAGAGCATTACGTCGTGAAGTCACTTGATGATTGCACAAATTGGTGGTCATGGAATAATGAGTGAGATGAACCTTTGACAGAAGGCCGAAGGTTGTCAATGTCTGTGTTGAAAGATGGAACGAATTGTGGGCGTGTGCCAAAACGTTGCCAAATCACTTCAGATGATGTGATTTTCAGAATGTTATGTAAGAAATTGTTAAACCGACCAGACGCAGTTGAATAAACTATATTTTAATTAATGGGAATTTTAAATTAACAATTATTAATAAATCGTGAGAAGAGAATTATTAGATTTTGAGTGGAATGAAATTTGTTGGTGGAATCTGTATCAACAAAAAGACAGATATTAAACAACTGAGTGTCATTTACTCATATTTGCTAAACTGCGAAAAATTGGAGAACTTACATATCTCCCCAAATTTCGACTTTTCACAACCATAAATATAATCTGTGTTTTGGCCGATTCCACCAACAAATTTCATTCCACTCAAAATCTAATAATTCTCTTCTCACGATTTATTAATAATTGTTAATTTAAAATTCCCATTAATTAAAATATAGTTTATTCAACTGCCTCTGGTCGGTTTAACAATTTCTTACATAACATTCTGAAAATCACATCATCTGAAGTGATTTGGCAACGTTTTGGCACACGCCCACAATTCGTTCCATCTTTCAACACAGACATTGACAACCTTCGGCCTTCTGTCAAAGGTTCATCTCACTCATTATTCCATGACCACCAATTTGTGCAATCATCAAGTGACTTCACGACGTAATGCTCTAATGTTTTCTAAATAATTTTTAATCTGTCTTTAACTTGTCTTGTCATATTTTATATAATTTTAACCATTGTACCATGTATCCAGCTCTCACCATGTTACTGGACGTTTCCCTCATCCTATACGAAAACAACAATTAGCAACATCCTCACATACTACTGTAAGTTGATTCAATTTAAATTCATTTTACACTTTTGTTGCTACTGTTATCATTGTAATTGCAGCTCCTGATGATGATGGCAAAGTCCATTGAAAGCTAGAGAGAATTAAAAAAGTATAAAGAGTCCTCTTTGCTTAAATTTTGTCGAAGTACCCAACAAAAGGCGGAAGCTTTAATTTTTCACCTATATGTATATATATATGCGATGACTAAGAATCTCGCTAGAGCGAACATCGTAGACAGTTGCAAGTATAATGCACCTATGTCCAAGATTTTGCATGCATCTTGGCAACGTTGGGTTGTTTGGTACATTTCACTGATTTGACCGGAAAGTTTCATTCATAAATTTGGGTGTGTTCTTTGTGCAGCACGTGTTGATCGTCGTGCAAATTGTGTTTTTGAGCTTTTAATCTATTATTTTGTTGACCATGATGCGCCAATCCGAATTAGTTAGTTGTAGAGTGAATTTAAAAATTTCAGCAGGCTAGCAACTTCTCAAAAGTGTATCTACATTCTCCGAAACTCCATCATTGCCGGTGAAGCGCAAGCGCACATCGCGTTACGTGTTGCTTTTGTGTTGATGGCAACGTTGCCGAATCTTCCGATTTTTCGGTGTTTTTACGGAAATGAACCTTTGTCTACCGGAACACCAAAAACGTCCTTATTTTGCACGATTTTTAAAATATCCCAGATATTTCCAGAGAAAAAAGTGCAGGAAGCAAAAGTAAAGCTAAAAAATGTAGTCTATAGTCTATGTAGTTTCATGTCCCATACGAATCTCACATATGCACACTTAGGTAACCGGTCACATATTGTACAGGGTGGGCCATTAAGTTTAAAAAAATCATAGAAGAAACTACAAAGCGTAGGGACTATAATTTATGTTTTTAAAAAGTAGTCAAAATCTTTCTAATAGTAATTCATGACTTACTATGTCGAAAGCTTGCTTTAAATCAACAAATATGCAATTAGAAGAAATTTTTGTTATTTCAACGGTGCAAAATCTTAATTTTGAATATAAATGTGCCCGTCCAATAATGTGCATACTTCTGCACCAAGGTATGTAATGTACAATTGTCTCATTATTTGTCCACATTCCATATGCAAAGGAGAGATCGAAGTGTTATTCTTAAGTGATTGAGATACGTACCTCCACTTTGACTTTTCCTCTCTTGTCCCTTTTGTGGTAGGTCTGCTTGTAGAAGTTGGAGAAGAGGAAATAGAACATAACTGCGTGCATTCCGATCCACCAGACGAAAGCTTTCGGGTAGTCGCAGTCGATGAAGAGCAGCTGGAAGGCGTGGACCATTACTAGCACGAATTGAACCTAAAAAGAAAAAAAAAGAATTTTGAATAATTACAGTAACATAAAAATCATATTAAAAAATCCGAGATCACCTTTGCCTTTGCAACTAAAGAATATATAAAAGTTCGCTAGAGGAACTTCCACCTACAATTTTTCAATCATTAAAACGAGTACAGGAAGGAGACGGCTTTCTTGTTGATTAATATATCCAAGAAACTGTATACTGCTCTTGGAATCATATCTAATCGACAGACAACAATTCGTGGAATAAAATGGCTGCAAATCCTCAATCAGTTTTGCATGGTGTTCCACAAGGTTCTGTCCTCGGCCCTCTGTTACTCTTATTGTATATAAATGACCAGCAACACTAATAACAAGCTAATTCTATACGCCGATGACACCACTCTTGTTCCTACTCTCGATTCTCTTTCCAATTTAGATTATGTGACATCTACTTGTGCGACGTTTTTGAATGGTTTGCAATTAATAAGTTAACAGTTAGTTCCAACAAAACTTAATTCATGAACATTACGGAATCATGATGTTGGTAATAACCATGTGGAGACAGCTAAGTTTCTTGGTATACACGTACATAAATGCTAGTTTAAACTGGGATGAACACATTAATTGTTAGCAAATCATTAACCAAAATTATTTATTTAATTCGTAATCTGGTAAAATGACATATCGCTGTGTCTCTAGAACAGTGACACTATTCAAAAGAAGCTTTTTTTCAGGAGAGGCATTTTTAATATTTTTTGAGGAACAATTTCGGATAACTGAAGATAAAGTTCATAATTTGGATTTAGAAAAATTATCAATTGAATAAGGTTTATTGAACTTTCAGATTCATTGAATAAATGATCAGTTTGTAGTCAAAAATATATTACTTTAAAATTTATTTTAGTATTACTACCAATGATACACAACACATCTTAAAGGCTACGTGCAACTAAGAAATCAAAGGTAAGTACAGAAAAAAAGCAGGTACAATACAAAAATTGGTTACAAATTATTGTAAAATCCCTCATAGTATGAGGGTATTATAGTTTGTTGTTGCTTCGTTTTTCTTAGATCTTCTATAAGATTTTGGAAATACGGTTTGTACAGCATAACCCGAAAGTTGAAGTTCAAGTTTCGTAAACAAAAGCGCTAACAACGTGAACACCGAGTGTGAGCGCTCGTTAAAACACGAAAAAATGTTCTATTCCGTAAAACAAGTCACTACTCACCATCTGCAAGGCGGTGAGGTACTTCTTCCACCACAAGTACTTCTGATACTGCGGGCCCAGGGCGGCAAGGAAGTAGTACCCGTACATGATGATGTGGACGAAGGTGTTCAGAAATCCGAAGAAAGTCGAGTGGCCGCCTGGAGTGAACTTCACGCCGAACCAGACTGACATCGGCATAATTCCGTGGTGGATCACGTGTAGGGTTGACACGTGGTCGAATTTCTTTCTCAAAACGAAGAAGAACTGAAAGTGATCAAAAAATAGAAATTAGTAGGACGTATCTATACTAGGAAGAGAAAAAGAAAGACAGCAGCAAAACACATCGCACGCCCATGCTAGCGCGGCATCTCTCTGAATTGACAAAGTCGGCGGGCCGGTATCCCGCCATATTCAAGAAGTTGTCGCGTTACCATAGGCGTGCGATGTGTTGCTGCCCTTTTCTTTTTGGTGCCAGAGTATGTTATTTTCAGCAATGATATCAAGATTGTAACTACCAATGGATAAAAATAACTAATTAAATGAATAATGTACGTGTTTTCAATTCGATCAACTGATTTTAATCGGATATACGGGGTGTTTCAGTTTATTGTTGCATAACTTTAAGATACGATAGAACTTTTAAAATTAATGCAAAAAGTCTATATAAACATGGGTCGAAAAATGCGTGGCTTCCGAAATACAGGGTGTTTAAATTTACTTTCTAAAATAGTTTTTTTTAAATATTTCGAACAATATTTGATGTATAACAGTGAAAATTGGTATACAAGGGTTTTTTGGCACGACAAAACGAACCATGGGCATAGTTTTATTGTAGCCGCTAGAGGGCGCTCTCTACTGTACCTGCAGTGTATTAAAATGACCGAAAAAAATTTCTTAGTGCAATTTTTGGCTTTTTGAATAAAAAAACTGATTATTCGCACTTTTCAACATAAAAAAGCCCTCCTGTGAGTTTTCGTTATAGTTAGCCGTTTTTGAGATATTTCGATTTTTAAGGTTCGAGGCAATTTTAATTATTTATGGGAAAATAATATTTTTTTTACATTTTCGATTTGGGCATTACAAGTAATTAAGATGATCGTTTAGATTGTGTTTTTAAACACAGCAATAATTCCTAACTCCAAATAAACACAAAAAAACAGAATATTAATTTGTTTAATTTTCCAATATTATTTTTAACAAATTAAATTAATTATTTACAACTAAAACGCTATTGGATAGTTAGGACAAACATACAAAATCTAAAGTAGTTGCTCGAAATGTAAACCCAATTGTTCAATACACAATTCACATCTACGAATGATCGAACGTGGTATAGCATTATTCAAATAAGGCCTTATTTCATCACATGCATTCCTGATTCTGTCTATTAGCATATCTCTTGTGGTTACGGGAGTCTGGTACACTTTTTCTTTCAGAAATCCCCACACAAAGAAATCTAATGGATCTGGGTCAGGGGATCCTGGAGGCCAGGCGACTGGTTAACCACGGCCGATCCATCTTTCTGGATAATTTTCGTCCAGCCAGTTTCTAACTATTCGCGAATAATGAGCCGGACAACCATCAAGCTGGAACCAGGCCAATCTTCTTAAATCTAACATAACATCATCCCACATATTTGCATGTTCAGCCTTTAAAAATTCCAAGAAGGTCGCAGCATATAACCTTGCAGGCAAAAGGTAGGGTCCAAATAGTCGATTACGGTAGCTAATCCACACGTTCACACTAAATTCATGCTGAAAATTTCTTTCCCGAACTGCATGCGGATTTTCATGCGACCAGATATATTGATTATGAAAATTTACCACTCCACGTCTAATGAAGCATGACACATCGGTCCATAAAACGTTACTTAAAAACTCCCTATTATTATCAGTTCTATCAAGAATCCACTGACAAAATGTGATTCTTCGTTCTCCGTCCCCTGGCTGTAGTCCTCGCACAGGTTGCAAATGGTAAGGACGTCTATGGTCATTTCTAAGAACACGGTGAACATGGCTTGCTGAAATTCCTAAGGCACCAGAAACTCTCCAAACACTTGTGGTCGGATCTCTATCATACTCACGCAGAATCACACGGGTAAATCTGCGCTGCCGAACATTTACGTTTTGATCCCTTCGGAGATCTCCAAAACCATTTTCAATTATTTGGCGATGCACTCTTACAAATACTGAGCGAGTTGGATGTCGTCTGTTTGGAAATCTTCGAGCGTATTCTCTGGCTGCTTCTGCCGCGTTCCATTTACAATGCCATACACAAAATGAATATCCGCTAACTCTTGATTGGAGAATAAAAATGGCATTTTTATAAAACTTACAAAAAAAAAAACAGGTAAAAGAAACTAAATTTCGTGCATTCACAATTGCAAAAAAACGTTTCAGGTTTCAACAGACAACAAAACTAACTGTCAACTAATTGACGTTTAACCTTATTCTGCTTTCAATTTCAAAAATATCTGCAGGCACAGCCTACTTCTAAAAATTATCGAGATACTGACTTTTTAACGTTATTTTATCATAAATAATTAAAAATGCATCGAACCTTAAAAATCGAAATATCTCAAAAACGGCTAACTATAACGAAAACTCACAGGAGAGCTTTTTTATGCAGAAAGGTGCGAAGAATCAGTTTTTTATTCAAAAAGCAAAAAATTGCACTTAGAAGAAATTTTCGGTCATTTTAATACACTACAGGTACAGTAGAGAGCGCCCTCTAGCGGCTACAGTAAAACTATGACCATGGTTCGTTTTGTCGTACCAAAAAACCCTTGTATGCCAATTTTCACTGTTATACATCAAATATTGTTCGAAATATTTAAAAAAAACTATTTTAGAAAGTAAATTTAAACACCCTGTATTTCGGAAGCCACGCATTTTTCGACCCATGATTATATAGACTTTATGCATTAATTTTAAGTTCTGTCGAATCTTAAAGTTATGCAACAATAAACTGAAACACCCTGTATATTTCTGTTTTTATCCACAAAAATCGCAATGAACATGAACGTCCTGGATAGCTGCATATCGATTTTTTCCGAAAAAACTGGAATACTAACAAATATCTAAGATATTTTGATTTGTAATTTATTGTACTTTTATAACGCGTCAAAGCACATATTTTTGGCGGGGCTAGCGGTCAGTGTTATGCAGAAAGTTTTTACCTTGTACCTAGCATTGTCACAAGTTTTAATTAAAAACTGCATTAAGATTAGTGATATTTCTCTCTTAAAGTTGTAATATTTGTAGATGCATTTCTGGACAGTCTGCGACACCATTGCGAATCTTCCATTGAAGCTCGCGAAAGCGCTGGAATGTTTCTCGACTCGTCGACAGGGGAATTAATACCCGACCAGATGGCAGACACAGTCAGTCAGTCGAGCGGGCGATGACTGTTCACAGGACGCGGTAGCCATAGTCCAGTCAACATGGTCATAAATATGTCATACATTAGTTGCCAGTGTTATGAATTATTGTAGAGTAATAAATTAGACTTTGGACAGAATTTCTTTAACATGTAACTTAATTTGGTATATTTGTATTTTGTAGAAATTTATTTTTTGCATTTTGAAGGCATTAAATACATGTCGAAACGTCGGCTTTATGAGTGCAGCGCATCATATTTTGGTAAGGTTGCTCTTCCAGATTCTTTTTTACATATTTATTGTTTTGTCGGTGATTGAGACAGTAAAGAAGATTATGTCAATACATGTGATTTTATTGGCCAGATAGGCATGGGGGATGTGAACCACATGATAAGTTTCAGATGTTATATTCTCTTGCATGGAAGCTCGAGCAAACGCTGGAATGTTTCTCGACTGGTCTATGGGGAAATAAATACCCGACCAGATGGCATACACAGACAGTCAGTCGACAGTAAACAGCGGGCGATGACTCACCACAGGACGCGTAAACCGTAGTCCAGTCAGCATGGTTATAAATACGTCATAAATTAGTTGCAAGTGTTATAATAAATTATTGTAGTGTTTTAAATTAGACTTTGGACAGTACAAACGGTATTTTCCTTACAGTATATTTTCTGTTTTAACATATTTGCATATTTTTTAACATATAACTTTATTTGGTATGTTTGTATTTTGTCTAAATTTATTTTTCAGCTTTATGAGTGAAGCGCGTCATGATTTTGTAAGGTTGCTCTTCCACATTCTTTTAGACATATTTATTATTTTTCAATCACGTTAGTGATTGAAACCCTTACAGTAAAGAAGATTATGCCAATACATGTGATTTTATTGGCCAGATAAGCATGGGGGGATTGTCAACATGTAAACCACATGACGAGTTTCAGATGTTACATTAACCTCCATGGAAGCTCGTGAAAACGGTGGAATGTTTCTCGACTCGTAGGTAGGGGAATAAATATCCGACCAGACGGCAGACACAGTCAGTCAGTGGACAGTCGACATTTGGTGATTACTCACCACAGGACGTGGAGGCCGTAGTCCAGTCAATATAGTTATAAATATGTCATAAATTATTTGAGTGTTATATGTTAATTTATTGTAAAGTAATAAATTAGACTTCGGACAGTAGAAACGGTGTTTTCGATTCATAACATTTTTGGTTTGTCTATGCTACTGTTTTCAACATTTTGTATACTCTGCTCTATATTTTAACACATAATTATTTGACATTGTTGTATTTTGTCGAAATTTATATTGAATCGTTTACAGTAAAGGAGATTCTGTCAATATATAATTTTTATATAATAAGCAGATAAGCATGGGGGAATTGTCAACACGTAAACCACATGACAAGTTTTAAATGTTATTTATCTTCCTTGGCAGCTCGCGAAAACGCTGGAATGTTTCCCGACTCGTAGATAGGGGAATAAATACCCGACCAGATGGCAGACACAATCAGTCAGTGGATAGTTTACAGCTAACGATGACTCACCATAGGACGCGGAAACCGTAGTCCAGGCAACATGGTTATAAATATGTCATAAATTATTTGAGTGTTATATGTTAATTTATTGTAAAGTAATAAATTAGACTTCGGACAGTAGAAACGATGTTTTCGATTCAGAACATTTTTGGTTTGTCCATGCTACTGTTTTCAACATTTTGTATACTTCGACCAATATTTTAACACATAACTTTATTTGGCATTTTTGAATTTTGTCGAAATATATTTATCGCATCTTTTAATCCTGAATAAGACACCAAATGGATGTCGGAACGTCGGATTTATGAGTGAAGTGCGTGGGAAGAAATGCAGATCTCGTCCTAAGAACCTATTCACAAAGTAGATTTTAATACTAAAAATAAAAATCACCCTTGCTCATATTTCATTAAAAATCTACATGCGAATGGTTTTTCCATAAGCGCATCCGATTAAAATTAGGTGCAGCAGGTTCATTGCTTTTCTGGAAATTACGGATATTATCATCGACTATGAATAAAGGTGAATGAATATATCATATATTTACCGTGTCGAAAAATTCCGTGAACTTGGAGAAGTAATACCACCAGCAACCTCGAACCATCTGAAATAAAAATCAAGATGGTTAATTCCAGAGTGACACAGTGATCTATGAAATCATTTACATATATGTGGTTTGCTTACACAACTAAAAATGTTGTTAGCTATTTTATTGGGTTGAACATCACTGTTAAAAGGAATTGAGAGTCTGAAAAAAATGTTGCTTCTTTAAGTTGACGTGCTAGGCTTTCAATCGTCTGAGATCAAATCGCGCTATTTTTTGTTGTCTTCTAGAAATTCGATCGTACCCATTTTGAGTTGTGACAGCGTTTTACTTCAAATTGTTGAGTTTGCTTACCCGTAAAGCTAAGGGGTTGTCCGAGTAATCCACAGGTTGACATTTGAAGCTGTAGTGGCTCATCCATCCAGCTACACAACTCTACAATAACAGAAAAAAAGGAGTCAGTCTCTTTAATGGCAGCCTCATTTTTACTTGCTTTAGGCAGTTAAGAAAATGTATATCCACTCTATACTTCCTACGCCTTATATATACTTCGAAGTTGAGTCATTTATTTTAACAGTGAGTAGACCTGATCAAAAGAAATGTTTTTTTCCTTTAACATTTTTCTGGTAAAATTAAATTAACAAAGTTATAGCCCTTTAGAAGTTTGAGTACCGCCCTGTCTCAATAATAATATTATGTGCTCGTGTTTGGCAACAACGGATATAATCCGCCTTATCGGTTCATCCCATCGGAAACAAAAAAGCGAAAGAATTTGAAACGCTGATCACGATGTTTTTATTCAGTCGATGTTACAGTCGGTAACGCGTGAGTGAATAGTGGTGTTTGCTGCGTGGCTCAAACGAAATAAAAAATGGCACATGTTTATGCGGATCGGTTTCCCAATCGAGTGCAACCAACCCCTCGTGCCTTTGTTAATGTAGTACAACGGGCTCGTGAATCAGGTGACTTAAGACCTCACAGGAGAGGGCATGCCGGTGCTCCAAGACCTCACGATCAAATACAGGTCCACACTGAAATACTTGTTGGGAGGATACTTTATAAAACAAGGTAATTTTTTTTTTTTATTTTTACACCCATATTTTGGTTTATCTTCCTTCTACAATCATTATCTGAACCTTAATGACTCAACTTCAAAGTCACCCTGTATATATATTGAGACGTGGTCATTGTCGTCTAGACCAGTTAGGTGAAAAATTAAAGCTTCCGCCTCTTGTTGGGTACTTCGACAAAAATTTAAGCAAAGACTCTTTATACTTTTTTTATTCTCTCTAGCTTTCAATGGACTTTGCCATCATCATCAGGAGCTGCAATTACATTGATAACAGTAGCAACAATAGTGTAAAATGAATTTAAATTAACTTAACTTACAGTAGTATGTGAGGATGTATATATATATATATATATATATATATATATATATAGATGGAGTAATACAAATTAAGGTTAGGCGAAAGGATAGTAGATATATAAGGATCATAAGATTCAGAAAAATATTATGGTAGATATAAAAACAGTTGTCATCATTTGGAAATGGATCGCAGAACGCTAGAGTGGTGAGTACTCCCAATATCCAAATACTGTTAAAATAAAATATTTAAATGTGTCTCTTGCAGTGGTGTCAGTGTCGACACCACCACATGCCAAAAGCCACTGGTTGAATTTGTGACCCAAGCGCTTTTTTCGGCCCGGCTTAGTAAAATTGGGGCTGTGCACACTCGCAGTGATCGATTCAAGTAATAGATGGCGCTTTGCGCTGTCCTATATCGATAACCGTTTTGAAAAATATCAAGAAGCTCGTTCCATACTTACTTCATAAAATAGCCAGGTACTAAATATCACTTGGAAGAGATTGTATGCTATCAGGACATTCTTTAATTCGAAAGGTTTTCTATTTTCCATTAGTTTAGGTCCTAACACTTTCACTATGAACACGTATGTGAGGCATATTCCTAACGTGTAGAATGGTGAGCTCATCAGGAACCAGTCTTTTACTCTAGGATCTGAAACCAACAAAAAATCAATCAGTGACATTAGAAGTGTTACGCCTAGAAAAAATAATTTCTTCAACTTTACTCTGTGGCAATGGTGTAGTCTTACATCAAGAGTGAAAGGATAACATTCTAACGAAATTTTATTGACAAATAGTAAGGAAAAAAATAATAATGTGTTGGGCGACCGAGCTAGTTGTCTCAAGCGCCTATCTTGACGCTATGTGGTACGCCTCGGTAGACCAGTTGGTCTACTTCGTGTTCTCTACTTTCTTCTATCCGCACACGACACACACGCATTACCGTCATTGCAGTACATTCAACACGGCGGCCAATTTCGCGATAGGACAAACCAACATCTCGATAGACCCGTGTCAAAGTCGTTGGTGATAATTTGGACGTCGTCGAACTCGAGGCATTTTGTTATGGTTAACACTAGCAATTGAAAGGGCAATAACTAAAAATATCTGTACTACTCAGCTCTCAGAAACTGCTCTCTTCACAAAAACTAAAGGATAACAGGTAAGCAAAAACAAAGATAAAACCCAACCCCCAAGCTTCAACTACTACAAAAACTTTTCCGAAAATGATCAGAAGCCCCTGAACGTCAAAAAACGCTTTAATATACTAAGTGGCATATAAATCCGAACACCCAGTTTAAATGGTTTTATTTTAATAAAAGTTGGTGAATGTATTTATCTTACTGTAAATAACAAGTGAAAAAATTTTCAGCCTTATCAGTTGGACATTCCGGTTTTTATACTGCTTTTTTTTAATTCACTAACGCTCTAAAAATGAATATTTCAGCCGCAGTAAAGAATCAACGTTGGCGGATTTTGGTTCTTGACATCCTTTACGATCGGTTACGATGCCTAGAGTACGGAGACGTGTACGATTTCGTCAACTTAGTGAGTTTGATAGAGGCCGTATAGTGGGACTTCGGGAAGCTGGACTTTCTTTTCGGGCAATTGCAGTTAAAGTGCAAAGAAGTGTAGACACTGTGGTTAGCTGTTATCACGCATGGCTTCGAGAAGGCCGTACGCAAAGAGCAAGGGGCACTGGACGCCGCCGTAGAACAACAGACCGTGAAGATCGCCGCCTAAGATTATTGGCCTTAAGGGACTCCACTACCAGGTCCATTGCAAATGAATGGTTTGCAGAACACAGAAGACCTATTGGCATGCGAAGTGTTTACCGACGAATGAGAAGTTTTGGTTTGTTTTCATACCGGCCACACTAGGTCCTCCCTTTAATTCGAGAACACCGACGTAATCGCCTTGAGTGGTGCAGACAACGGTCACTCTGGGATCAGGAATGGAACAGTATTGTCTTTAGTGACGAGTCTCGATTTTGTTTAGGCATGCACGATGGTCGTGCCAGGGTTAGAAGGCGACGTGGTGAAAGGAGGAATCCACAGTTTTTTGTTGAAAGACATGTTCATCACACTGTTGGAGTTATGGTTTGGGGTGCTATAGCTTATGGTTCCAGGTCACCTTTAATCTTCATCAGAGGTAACATGAACGCGCAGCGTTATATCCACGAAGTTCTAGAACCCCATCTTTTACCCTATCTTGACACCCTGGCAGATCCAACTTTCCAACAAGATAATGCCCGACCACATGTTGCAAGAGTCACAATAGACTTCTTTCAACATAATGATGTCACATTGTTACCATGGCCACCAAGATCTCCCGACTTATCCCCAATTGAGCACGTGTGGGATATGATCGGTAAGAGATTGCTCAATTTGCAACGTCCTCCTCAGACTCTAGAAGCACTTCGAGAGGAGTTGGTGGTTGCCTGGAATGAGATACCACAGAAGGACATTGACCACCTGATCAGAAGCATGCCTAGGCGCGTTGGAGAATGCGTAGTACATCAGGGTGCATCCACACATTATTAAAGGTCAAAGGGCTTTAAAGCAGTGCAATCATTTTGAAATGTTTATCATTTACTTATTATGCTTCATTAAGTACTTATACAAAATTTTATTAAAATAAAACCATTTAAACTGGGTGTTCGGATTTATATGTCACTTAGTATAAATTGGTCTAATTACTACTGAAAGGTTAAAAATTTACGCTACAAAAGAACGGCAAGGTTTCCGACTTGAATATATCATAAAATGAACAAAAGACTCAAAATCGGACCCGAAAAACTCCCGCTTGTGCGAATTACCGCATTTTCAATTCCCTTGTTCCAGCCAAGGTTATAAATAGGAGGTACTTGTAAAAGAATGTGACCAGTACTCATTCGTATTATGTTAAATGAAGTCGCCTTTTTAAAAAAGTCGTTCGTTATTTGCACATTCGTAATTCGCACAGGTGCTAAAAAGAAAACAACAAAAATGCTGACCATAAACTTACTGCAGAAAAATTCCACTTCGCTTGGTTATGTTGAACATCCCGGCAAAAAATTGCTTGTCTTTTGGAATAAAATACGATCTACCTTGTATCAGAGGACTAAAACATCACGAGCCAGTTTCGCGAATCTTTTTCAGACACTACCTGCGTCGTAAAACATTACGGGGACGTTTTGATTATTTTTTAACTGGCAGTTATATTACCGGTTTTTCGACAAAATTAATGCGAATTTTCGGCTATATCGCCGGTTCGTCGAACTTTTGCTTTTAAACGGGAGGAATATTTATTATACGAACGAAATGGATGCTAAGGTTCTTCAAATTTCTACAGTCCAGCAGAATTGTTTTTACTAAAACTAACTTAAGTTTCAAAAAATCGTCTTCTATCGTGCACAGTGACAATTTAAGAAGTAATTTTCGATACTAATTTACTCAACATTTTTCTGTGTTGGTTCCATTTGTTTCATTGTCGTTTCATTGCATTACCATGCCTAGAGATGTTTCATAGTAACAGATATTGGACTATTTTGCGACAAATTGTTCCTGCATACAGGACATAAAAGTACCACGCATTTTTAGACTCAAAATAAGTCGATGGGACATTACCTCTGATGCAAAAGTCAAATATTTCTTTTTAAAACACGTTTTTTAAGATATTTCTGGAACTGATAGACGAACGAAATTTGGAAAATATGTGTTTTCCTAGACTTCCTAATATTGGATAGTCAGAACTTTATTGATAACTGAAGAAAGTTGCGCCTGGTAGAGCAGAATAATAATAATAATAATAATAATATTTATTTACTCAATGTACAAAGATAACAAACAATATGAGTGAATAAATATAAAATCAAAACAGGCCCAATAGAAGGCATTGCCTGTACATGGACCAATAATTGAAGTTGAAACTGTAGAATGCAAATGACAAAAAAGGACAAAAATTAGCTACAGTAGATTATGTATTTAGTTGATGTTCGTATTTATGAGTTTTTGAATTTCAGTCCTAGATATAGAATGTAGCCACTTTTTTAAATTTCTTTTGAAACAATTTCCGAAACGTAAATCTTTTAAGTCTTTAGGTTTAATTTCATAAAATTTAGGCGCTAAATAGAGATATGATCGCTGCATTATAGATTTATGCGGTTGAGGAACTACTGTGCCACGAATTTTGTACCTGGTATAATGATTATGTTTAATTTTTTGGACGGTGTTTACAAATTTATGGTAGTGAGTGATACTGTGTAAGAAATAAAGCTGTCTTATATCATACATTCGAACATCTGCGTATAATTTTTCAGTGGGATAAAGTTTCGGTTTTTTAAATATCATTTTTAGAATACTCTTTTGAAAAACATCTAAATTATAGATATGTGAGGAACATGCAGCTCCCCATGCTAATATACCATATGTGAGATGAGGCTCAATCAGTGCATGGTATAATGTTCGAAGATATTTTTCTGTCAATATATTCCCAAGGTATTTAATTTTGTAGGATACAAATCTAACTTTCTTTAAAATATAATTGACATGGATGTTCCATCGTAAGTGAGGATCCAAGACCACTCCAAGGTATTTTATGTTGGGCACTCTATTAAGTTGCATTTTTTGATCATTAATATTGACGGAGAAATTTGTGTAATTTGGCAGATGTCTAGCATAAGATCCAAATGGTAAAAAATGTGTTTCAGAGTAGTTAATGCTTAATTTTCTACTGTTAAACAACCGAATAATTTTGATAAAATCATTTTCAATTACATTTTTCAGATCAGACCAGTCAGAGCCTTCATATAATATTGCAGTATCATCTACAAAACTAGTTATTTTGCCAACACAATTAATTTGGAAAATATCATTTAAATATATATTGAATAACAGCGGACCTAAGACAGTTCCTTGTGGGACACCAGACTTAATACACATTTCTTTACTAAATGATCCTGATATCTGCACAGATTGTGGGCGATTTGACAAATAACTTTCGATCAGTGAGTACGCGTTTCCTCTGAAGCCAATTCTCTCCAATGCTTCTAATAATAATTTGTGATTAACTGTGTCGAAAGCTTTCTTTAAATCAACAAAAATGCAGATTGAAGGGATTCTGTTATCAATATTTTGATATATTTGATTTACAATTTTAGTTATTGCGTCCGATGTAGCCTTCCCTTCTGTAAATCCATATTGATTTTCACTCACAAATTTTAAATTTTGTGAGGTATCGAATCATTCTAGTAGATAAAACTTTTTCAAAAGCCTTTGCTACACTGGATATTATTGATATTGGTCTATAGTTGTTAACATCTGTTTGGAATGAATGGACCACTCCACATAATTCGATAGTATAGTTTAGTTAAGAAATTGCTTGTAATTTATGATAAGTAGTTAGTTTTTAAATAAATTTCTTCACTAAAAAAAATCCGATGAATATTTTGTGCCTGAACTTTTAGGACATAGTGCTAAGTTGACTGGTAGAAAAACCTGCGTTATGTCAGAAAAACCCTGCTAAATGTCAAAAAAAAAACTATAAAAAGTCACTTTTCGAGAAACGTAATACCCATGCCGCATAGTTTTCGAGAAAAAATGTTTTTATTGTTATTCGTTTCGATAACAAGTTTCATAAAGTTTAAATTAATAATATTCGAGTTTATTTTTGATTATCAATTTGTTGTCTGTTCTTCGTAAATTTTAAAATTAATTAACGTTTGCGATTATCTACGCAGAAACCAGGTACTAACAACATGCCAGTCTGCCAAAGGAATGTTCGATATTCACGTGAAAACAAGCAACGACAACAACTTAACCAAAACTTATCATCAATCAATGTGCAATCGAGTCTCAAAATACGTGGTACTTGTATATCTACTGTATATTGGGACACCCTGTATATGCGACATGTCTAAACATAATGAAGTTGCAACGCACCAAGAAAATTAGCAATCATTTTAGCTATAAATATAAAAACTGTTGTAAACGTATTCTCAATTAATGTGAACAGATAAAGTTTCAGATAACCATCAACTCTTTGGAAAATTTTATATATATATATATATATATATATATATATATAACAAAAAATAGGAAAATAATGGGCAAAATCCGCAAAAAGAAGTAAAGTGGATTCGACCAGAAAATAGGATAGGTAACCCGAGCGATACGTATTTCTGCTGGTTGGCTTCATCAGGCCCGAAACGAATGCACATATGCAACTAGAAAAGCAGATACACATGCCCATACATCCGGATACGGGTGTAACCAGAGGAAACGAAGTTGGAGAGGGAAAAAATCACACACGAAGTCCACAATGAGAGCCAACCTACATATCTAACCACAACCACGCGGCCGGTTATAGCCACTTGCTGTGATACTCCAAGCCCAAAGGATCTACAAAGAGAAAATGACCATGCGGAGAAAGGTATATAACAAAAAATAGGAAAATAATGTCGCCTTGAAAATTCGAGGTCTTCTAGCCATTTTGTACTACAATTGGCTCTTGTTGTGGACTTCGTGTGTGATTTTCTTCCTTTTCATCTTCGTTTCCTCAGGTTACACCCGTAGTTGCGCGTATGTGCATTCATTTCTGGCCTGATGAAGCCAACCAGCAGAAATACGTATCGCTCGCTCGGGTTACCTATCCTATTTGCTGCTCGAATCTTTTTTCGTTCTTTTTGCGGATTTTGCCAAATTATTTTCCTATTTTTTTGTTATATACCTTTCTCCGCATGATCATTTCCTCGTTTTAGTTTTAGTAATCTCTTTTAACTGTAATCTCGAGCTTTCGGCTCGCTATGGTGCCATCATCAGGAGTCGTCGCTGAGGTTGCAGCCAAATGGTGTTTCAAAACGAAAGCGAGGATGAGAGCACCTGTTGCAAATGTAAAACCACAAGGACGGACACATAAAAATTATTGAACATTTTCAAATTATTAAAAAAGTATTACTATATTTTGGGGAAAAATAGCAGAGTCCCTTCTTACCTCCTACATTTGTTTCACGTGGAGACAATGAGCGAACCGGAAGAGTCCGTAGTATAGTAGGAGGGGAGAGATGACCAAGTGACACTGAGACACAACGTCACTAACAATAGATGAAAATTTTCGAAGTGCTTTCAAACTTTGTTTTTAGACATTTTTCGATATTTCTGGAAATTCTTAAACGCAAGTTGAACAAATTTTGGAGTGATTAAAATTTGACACATCATTCGAAGTGTTTCAACCTTACTGTCACTTTAGTACGTAGTAGGATTTTTTGCGGGCTTAAAAATTTAAAATTAGTCAATTCATATACTAAGTGACATATAAATCCGAACACCCAGTTTAAATGGTTTTATTTTAATAGAAGTTGGTGAATGTATTTATCTTACTGTAAATAACAAGTGAAAAAATTTTCAGCCTTATCAGTTGGACATTCCGGTTTTTATACTGCTTTTTTTTAATTCACTAACGCTCTAAAAATGAATATTTCAGCCGCAGTAAAGAATCAACGTTGGCGGATTTTGGTTCTTGACATCCTTTACGATCGGTTACGATGCCTAGAGTATGGAGACCTGTACGATTTCGTCAACTTAGTGAGTTTGATAGGGGCCGTATAGTGGGACTTCGGGAAGCTGGACTTTCTTTTCGGGCAATTGCAGTTAGAGTGCAAAGAAGTGTAGACACTGTGGTTAGGTGTTGTCAGGCATGGCTTCGAGAAGGCCGTACGCAAAGAGCAAGGGGCACTGGACGCCGCCGTAGAACAACAGACCGTGAAGATCGCCGCCTAAGATTATTGGCCTTAAGGGACCGTTTCTCCACTACCAGGTCCATTGCAAATGAATGGTTTGCAGAACACGGAATACCTATTGGCATGCGAAGTGTTTACCGACGAATGAGAAGTTTTGGCTTGTTTTCATACCGGCCACACTGGGTCCTCCCTTTAACTCGAGAACACCGACGTAATCGCCTTGAGTGGTGCAGACAACGGTCACTCTGGGATCAGGAATGGAACAGTATTGTCTTTAGTGACGAGTCTCGATTCTGTTTAGGCATGCACGATGGTCGTGCCAGGGTTAGAAGGCGACGTGGTGAAAGGAGGAATCCACAGTTTTTTGTTGAAAGACGTTCATCACACTGTTGGAGTTATGGTTTGGGGTGCTATAGCTTATGGTTCCAGGTCACCTTTAATCTTCATCAGAGGTAACATGAACATCTTTTACCCTATCTTGACACCGTGGAACTTTCCAACAAGATAATGCCCGACCACATGTTGCAAGAGTCACAATAGAGTTCTTTCAACATAATGATGTCACATTGTTACCATGGCCACCAAGATCTCCCGACTTATCCCCAATTGACCATGTGTGGGATATGATGGGTAGGAGATTGCTCAATTTGCAACGTCCTCCTCAGACTCTAGAAGCACTTCGAGAGGAGTTGGTGGTTGCCTGGAATGAGATACCACAGGAGGACATTGACCACCTGATCAGAAGCATGCCTAGGCGCGTTGGAGAATGCACATCAGGGTGCATCCACACATTATTAAAGGTCAAAGGGCTTTAAAGCAGTGCAATCATGAAATTTTTGTCATTTACTTATTATGCTTCATTAAGTACTTATACAAAATTTTATTAAAATAAAACCATTTAAACTGGGTGTTCGGATTTATATGTCACTTAGTATATATTTGGTGCTTAGAATTTCGGTTTTCTTGAAAAGAATAGCATAAAATTAGGACTGAGGAGATCTATTTGACTCAATTTTGCGATGCTGTCCAAATTTCTGGTCACTTTACCATATCGACAAAGACAATTTTTGGGAGCGTTTAAAATTCGTGATAATGTCAGAAGTGTCAATTCTACTTGAAACCGAAAAACATAAGAAAAAATCAACATGAAAACCACAGGTTAAGTTTCGGATGTTACATTAATTTTTAGGAAGCTGTTAAATTTTGGAAACAAGCTGTATTTATATTCCACTCGTCACTGATGATGCTTAGAGTTCTTGTGTATCTACCCAACAATTTCTTACACTAACACGTGTGATTTTAGAATGTTTGTGGATGTAGATGTTTAAATCAATTATTCTAAAAAAATGTCATATGCGACTTCAAAATGCATCAGTAAACTATTAAACAAGCAACAAGGTATGTGAATGTCAATTATTATTATAAACCAGTAATGTTGCCATCATAATATTAACTACATCTTAAGAATCCTTGATCACCAATGGTAGCCTTCTTTTTTAATAAAAACTTGACAACATTGAGATAAGGACATATTCTTAGTAAAAGTTAACGCGAATAGCATCGTATGGATAGGTATAAAAATATACATCCAGTAGTATTGAGTGGAAATAAAATTGCTTGTATCGTCGCCTCAACTTGTTGAAAAAAATTACCGTAAAGGAATATTACGCAATTATTGTTGTATTAGTCTTATAGTACAGTACCCCAGCAAAAATTTTCTTCGAGTAAATTGAAAACAATACTAGCTGTTTTAAAATTATTTGATGGAAAAATTTCAAATTCGTAAAATGAAAAAGAATTCCGAGATTTTGGAAATTACTCAATTATCAAAAATAGATCAACTTACCACTTTTGTTGTCCATCACATCATGATATCCTTCTATGAACCTTTTTACTAGGGTGGCCATTTTGGTGTAGGTTCTGAAACAAAACATTAACGAATTAAAAATGGTAATAAAAAACCACGTGCAGAGTCAAATATCAAGCGCCATCATTTCGTCAGTTGTCTAGAAGAAACTCGATACCTATTATACACAAACAAATATTAGAAGACATACGTTTTTGCAATTCAATAATTGTATTGTTTTTATGATTCCAGTTTTTGAATTCCGGAAAAATCTAGACTGTTTATAATTAAAATTTCCTTATAATCGCAGTATTATTTTTTCTTAATCTCATTTATTTATCGTGGGATATGTACACAAAAATTAAACAGATTGACTCTGTGTTTCCCATGAATCTAAATTGTTTCAATCTTCATTCAAGATTCTTTGTCGTCATTTCATTATTTTTTTTGTATAAATTGCAAGGCTTGATAATTTGGGACAATCTAAACTTATAACCTGAAATCACGTTCCTTGCTTGATTGCGATTGAAATACCACAATAAATTTACATTTTAAGGAAGAAATATTTGATGAAAACAAATTCGAAAAATATAACGCGTTTTAGTAAAATTAAATTGATTTTTGAAAAAGGCACTACCTTAATGAAAAAAGTTGTTATTAAAAAATGGTTTGTTTCATAAACATATAATTTTGGTGACGAATTGGGTTTCCCTGATCTCTGTTCATGAAAATCCGCATTATTTGATTTTCTAAAAAATACCAAATCCTGTTCGTTCTTCACAAACAGAATAACAAAGGAACGTACACAGCGGAATTTAATACCCTTCTTAGTATTCACGAAGCTCCCTGATAAAAGACAATTATAGTATGTGCATTATACCGGCGGAATGAAAAAATCACCGAAAAAAATCACAGCAACATATTCCTGCGTCATTTAGGAATATCAAATAAGAGCAATAATTCTTTGTGATGCTGCAAGAATACCAATTTGTTTCCCTTTGAATTTGAATTTCATGATATTGCTGGCTGCAGTACATCAAATGAGTAATGAGCATGTTAAAGTATGTAGTACTAGAAAAAATTTACATGCGGTATTTTACAGCTACATGCGTAAAAAGATTATTTGTTTTATAATGGGCATTTACACTACGACTCATATTTTATGAACAAACAAGGAAGTGTGGTGTAGAATAAAAATTATAAGCAGCTTAGATAGTTGAATTGGTATGTTGTTTCTGGAATTCTGGGGACAAAAAATAGTAAATTATTTGCCGAGGTTGAAGGCTGAGCAGCATCTCTACACGGCTCCATATTTCAGAACATACTGACCAGAGAAAAAAATAATTAAGACAAGAGTTATGGATGACCTTGACTTTGAAATTACCGTCAAGTTCAAGATGATTTACCTAAATGTGACCCTACACTTTTGACCCGAAGTGAAAGAGAGGAAAATTCTAACATTGGACTTTGTTCTTGATCTTGACTTCAAAGATCATTTCGAGGCCAAATAAATTTTCTTGAAACCGGCCCTATACTTATGATCCCGGAAATCGAAAGAAGGGAAATTTCTACGTTTGGATATGTCCTTGACCATTACAAGGACCAGATCAAAAGTTTGCTGCCAATAATTGTAGATTTTTCATCACATTCTCGTATCTTTTTTGACTATTGACTATTTTCAAGTGAAAAATCGATACTCAGGAGTTTTCGGGTCGTAGAAGCTGAATCGAGAGTCAGATGTTGTAAATTTCTGAATTCCAAATCAAGATCTTGGTCAAGGTTATGGTCAAAATCGTATTTGAATTGAAAATTTTCCCATCTTATGATTTCTGGGATGAAAACTATAGGCTTCCATTCAAGTAGATCGGATTGACCTTGGAATAACTTTCAAGGTCACCTCCATGGTGTTGGTCAAGGACATATCTAAACACGCTTCTTTCGATTTTTGCACAGCTTGTTCGGGTTTAAAAGTAAATCGGATTGATGTCGGAATAAGTTTCAAGGTCACTGACAAGGACATATCCAAAACTTGAAATTACCACCGCTTTCGATTTCCGAGATCAAAAGTATGGGGTCCTAGGGTTGACCTTGGAATGGCCTTCAAAGCCAATGCCAAGGTGATGTTCAAGGACATCCAAAGCTAAAATTTTCTCCCCATTCGTTTTCTAGGATCTAAGGTATGATTCCCCATTTGAGGAAATCGCTTTGACATTGAATGACCTTCAAGATCGAGATCAAGTTCATATCCAAATTCAGAATGTTTCGATTTCCAGGTCCAAAAGAATAGGATCTTATTAAGAAAATCGCTCTCAGCTTGAGAAAACCTTCAAGGTCATGGTCAATGGCATATTTATCTTGGAATTTCCCCTGTTTTGACATCCGGGGTCAAAAGTATAGGATCTCATTGAATAAAATCGATTTGACTTTCATACCCACTACTTGAATACGGGATATGGCATCTCCTACTCATTTCGCAATCGAAATATTTTATCGCCCGTTGTCGAACTGTAAAACTCGTAACTGAGAGCAGGTTTGGAGTGATAATTTGTTCTAGTAACTATTCAAGGAAAAATGTTTGGGGTCCTTGGGTATAAAATACGTTTTCTATGATCGAGAATTGAACAAATTTGCACTATTATGTATTCATAATCAACATCCAGTCAATGAACTGCTAGCAAAAGCTTGCTGATTGCGAAACTGTATAAGTAGTTAGCAAGGTGTCGATTCGTGAAAATAGTGATGAACTGGGAAGATGTTAATTGATAACAGTCAATACTACGGTCTCTTTCTTCACGTGCAGTCACAAAAATATAAATATTATATATTTCCTACCACGTCTATTGGCGGGTCCACGTTGATGCTTGATCAACCTTTGCATTTTAAATGAACAATGCACCCTTGAGTAACTTTCAAGTAGGGATTTAACATTTGAATTTCAGATCAGGTTGCAGTTAATGCAGGTTTTCACAACTTTCAAAATTTCATAAATTTTGTAATTTACATTTTCAAAAGTATTCCAGATTTTTTAAATTTAAAGGTTTTATTAATATAAGTTATCAAATTTTTCAAAATTTCCAGACTTTTCAAAGTTCTCGATATTTTAAAAATTTTTTAATGTTTCAAAATTATTTATTCATTAGTTTTCAGAAATCTCGAAGTCTTACATATATTTAAAGCTTCGAAGGTTTGAAGATTTTCAAAATTTTCAGCATTTCTATATTTTCGATAGCATTGAAAACTTTGCATTTTAGAGTAGACTGTAACAAATCACAGGTTATCAAAATTACCAAAATTTCCAAATATCTAAAAAAATTTCAAAATTATCAAAGTTTTACAGATTTTAAAATGCTTTAATAAGACTCTTTAAATTCCCAAAATTTCAAAAATTTTCATGTTATTAAAATGTTTTTTAATATCTTAAAGCTTCGGAGGTTCCAAGATTTTCCAAATTTTTAATTATTCGAAAATTTTCAGAATTGCTACATTTCTTAAGGCATTGAATGCTTCAGACAATTTTGAATATATTTTGTGACAACTGTTACAGCTTACTGTGAAATGCAATTTTACACGAACAACATGGCCTTCAAGAATTTAACATTTGAAGTCCAGAGCAGGCTATAATTCAGATTTTCCGAAATTTCAAGAACCACAAATTTTCCAGAATTATAGGTATACAAATTTTCAATATCTCCAAAAGTTCCAAAACCTTAAACATTTTCCAGGTTTTGAAATTATCTAAATTTGCCAAATTTTCAAACCATTCAAAATTTACGCGATTTTTAAAATATTCAAATTTTCACTTTCAAAATTCTCGATATATTCACAATTTTTAAAATTCAACTTTTCAAGAATTTCAAGATTTCCAAAATTTTCAGTAACTATCAAATTTTTAAAATCTAAATAATTTTCAAAAAGATTTTGAGATGTTCTATTTTTAAATTCAAAAAATCTTCAAAATTTTCAACATACTCAAATTTCCAAAATTTTAAATATTTTGAATATTTTCATAATCAAAAATCCCAAACAAAAACTTAAGAATCTATCAGATTTTTTAAATTAACAGAATTTCTAAAATTCTCGAAAGTTCCAGAATTTTCAAAAACTTCAGAATTTTCAAGATTTTAGATATCTTCAAAGCATTGAAGGCTCCCAAGAATCTCCAAATTTTCAATATCTTCCAAAATTTTCAGAATTCCTACATTTTTGAAAACTTTAGAAAATTTTGAAATTCTGTAGTGATAACTGTTAAACGACAACTAAGTTAATCTGCTCATTTGTAGGAATAAGAAGGTCCTTTAAGCACACTAAATATTTTACAAATCTGTTCGTTTAGATAGTATAAAAATGGACGTTACGAACAACGCCCATCTTGCAAAATCAATTTTTTCGTTTAAAAAATACATTTTACTGTTTGCTAGTCAAATAAGCACTAGTCTTCTATAGCCGATTGCCGATTATCTATATGTCTGAGTCTTTTTTAATTTTCAATGATAAACAATAAAAAATATGATCATTTTGTTTGTTTTTGCATTATTATTATACAGGGTGGCGCATCGAAAACGGAACAGACGCATTTACTGGCAGCTCAGTTTTTTTGGATAAACGCTCAGACCCGTCGATTTTGTTTTAGAGGGGGACACAAGTTTGGCAAAAAATCACGTTAGCACGTGCAGCCCCCTAAGCGGGGGTGACACCACCTCCAAAATCTTAAATGGAACGGGGGGGTCGAGCGTTTTTAAAAAAAAACTGAGCTGCTAGTAAACGCGTCTGTTTCGTTTTCGATGCGCCACTCTGTATGTCATATTTTCTGTAAGTCATTTACTACATTAAGCCTAAAAAAGTTCCATGACTCCTGGAAAATTATGTCACTTATCAGACTTTTAAAATGACCTTTTCAATCGTAAACTACACCCTGAACGTACAAGAAAATCGTATCTCACATATTGCACAGCAACAAAATCTCATCAATCACACAAATAATTACGCTTTGCACAACACCAGATCGCACTGAAAATGGCCGACAAAATGCGGCCCAAGCGTTCTGCAACGATTTAATGCAATGGTTTGAACGGCACTCGCCATTTCAAACCCGTTTTTTTAAGGATAATAACGCGACCTTAGCAGTAGAAATTTTGCAATTTCCACTCGTTTGAATGGTACGACCTCCGCGGTACAACCACTCGTGGCAGTGCGTGAAAGCATATCGGTTAAGGAGATTTTGTGCCAAACCGAAATAATTAATATTGTGATCGCGAAATATTTTGAAAATGACATAGGCATGCTCTTTAAATGTTATGTCTGTACCTATGTTTATATAGGTCTCTCTAATCTTAACTATACTAAGTGACATATAAATCCGAACACTCAGTTTAAATGGTTTTATTTTAATAAAAGTTGGTGAATGTATTTATCTTACTGTAAATAACAAGTGAAAAAATGTTCAGCCTTATCAGTTGGACATTCCGGTTTTTATACTGCTTTTTTTTAATTCACTAACGCTCTAAAAATGAATATTTCAGCCGCAGTAAAGAATCAACGTTGGCGGATTTTGGTTCTTGACATCCTTTACGATCGGTTACGATGCCTAGAGTACGGAGACCTGTACGATTTCGTCAACTTAGTGAGTTTGATAGGAGCCGTATAGTGGGACTTCGGGAAGCTGGACTTTCTTTTCGGGCAATTGCAGTTAGAGTGCAAAGAAGTGTAGACACTGTGGTTAGGTGTTGTCAGGAATGGCTTCGAGAAGTCCGTACGCAAAGAGCAAGGGGCACTGGACGCCGCCGTAGAACAACAGACCGTGAAGATCGCTGCCTAAGATTATTGGCCTTAAGGGACCGTTTCTCCACTACCAGGTCCATTGCAAATGAATGGTTTGCAGAACACGGAAGACCTATTGGCATGCGAAGTGTTTACCGACGAATGAGAAGTCTTGGCTTGTTTTCATACCGGCCACACTGGGTCCTCCCTTTAACTCGAGAACACCGACGTAATCGCCTTGAGTGGTGCAGACAACGGTCACTCTGGGATCAGGAATGGAACAGTATTGTCTTTAGTGACGAGTCTCGATTTTGTTTAGGCATGCACGATGGTCGTGCCAGGGTTAGAAGGCAACGTGGTGAAAGGAGGAATCCACAGTTTTTTGTTGAAAGACATGTTCATCACACTGTTGGAGTTATGGTTTGGGGTGCTTAAGGCTCATGGTTCCAGGTCAACTTTAATCTTCATCAGAGGTAACATGAACGCGCAGCGTTATATCCACGAAGTTCTAGAACCCCATCTTTTACCCTATCTTGACACCCTGGCAGATCCAACTTTCCAACAAGATAATGCCCGACCACATGTTGCAAGAGTCACAATAGACTTCTTTCAACATAATGATGTCACATTGTTACCATGGCCACCAAGATCTCCCGACTTATCCCCAATTGAGCACGTGTGGGATATGATGGGTAGGAGATTGCTCAATTTGCAACGTCCTCCTCAGACTCTAGAAGCACTTCGAGAGGAGTTGGTGGTTGCCTGGAATGAGATACCACAGGAGGACATTGACCACCTGATCAGAAGCATGCCTAGGCGCGTTGGAGAATGCGTAGCACATCAGGGTGCATCCACACATTATTAAAGGTCAAAGGGCTTTAAAGCAGTGCAATCATTTTGAAATTTTTATCATTTACTTATTATGCTTCATTAAGTACTTATACAAAATTTTATTAAAATAAAACCATTTAAACTGGGTGTTCGGATTTATATGTCACTTAGTATATAATCTTTAAGTTTCATAAATAAAGCTTCATCACGGTAGGGGAGCATCTTTCAATCTATATGTACAGGAGCTTTTTTTGTTACTTTTGGATGTATGTACTTTCTCCCTAGAAATATTAGCACGTCTTTCTGAAATACCCTGTACAAACTTTTTTTCATAATTAATCTATCCTTCAATTTCCCTGGTAACATTCTGTAAGTCTCGTGCATTATAGCAGTCGCGGTATTTCCAAGTTAGGCCTTGCCCTTAGCACTTTTTATGAATAACGAAATCCAAATAGGGTATTCCTATAAAAACCAGATAATTAAAAAATATACGCAGCTTGAACTAAAGATCGTAGGCAATAAATGAAATGAAGACTGTAGGTGGTAAACGTTAAAAAGTATGACAATTCAACGTGAACATTAATAGTATTTTATGGGCTTCAAAATGGCAACTATAAATATCCTTATGACGTATTCGATGCATCTGTTTATGAAGTATCTTATATCTACAAGAGGTTCGATTTATGCCAGTACCGAATAGGTGGAGCCTCCCCCAGTTTACAATTTTTAATCGTTGAATATGTTCACCTTTGTCTTCCTATTTTTTATGTAGTCAATAATCGGATACTTCGTAAGTTTATAGGTTTTTGATGCATAGATGGATGTTTAATATGTTTCGTATGTACGAGCCCCTTCCCACTTCAGTTGGCCCAACTATTAAAATCTTAGTGTTTTTCTTATCAAACACAAATTATGAAAATGTAGCAGGGTATTATAGGTTTAAAATATTAACAATGAATATTTTGATAATATACTAAGTGACATATAAATCCGAACACCCAGTTTACATGGTTTTATTTTAATAAAATTTTGTATAAGTACTTAATGAAGCATAATAAGCAAATGATAAATATTTCAAAATGATTGCACTGCTTTAAAGCCCTTTGACCTTTAATAATGTGTGGATGCACCCTGATGTGCTACGCATTCTCCAACGCGCCTAGGCATGCTTCTGATCAGGTGGTCAATGTCCTCCTGTGGTATCTCATTCCAGGCAACCACCAACTCCCATCGAAGTGCTTCTAGAGTCTGAGGAGGACGTTGCAAATTGAGCAATCTCCTATCCATCATATCCCACACGTGCTCAATTGGGGATAAGTCTGGAGATCTTGGTGGCTATGGTAACAATGTGACATCATTATGTTGAAAGAAGTCTATTGTGACTCTTGCAACATGTGGTCGGGCATTATCTTGTTGGAAAGTTGGATCTTCCAGGGTGTCAAGATAGGGTAAAAGATGGGGTTCTAGAACTTCGTGGATATAACGCTGCGCGTTCATGTTACCTCTGATGAAGATTAAAGGTGACCTGGAACCATAAGCTATAGCACCCCAAACCATAACTCCAACAGTGTGATGAACATGTCTTTCAACAAAAAACTGTGGATTCCTCCTTTCACCACGTCGCCTTCTAACCCTGGCACGACCATCGTGCATGCCTAAACAAAATCGAGACTCGTCACTAAAGACAATACTGTTCCATTCCTGATCCCAGAGTGACCGTTGTCTGCACCACTCAAGGCGATTACGTCGGTGTTCTCGAGTTAAAGGGAGGATCCAGTGTGGCCGGTATGAAAACAAGCCAAAACTTCTCATTCGTCGGTAAACACTTCGCATGCCAATAGGTCTTCCGTGTTCTGCAAACCATTCATTTGCAATGGACCTGGTAGTGGAGAAACGGTCCCTTAAGGCCAATAATCTTAGGCGGCGATCTTCACGGTCTGTTGTTCTACGGCGGCGTCCAGTGCCCCTTGCACTTTGCATACGGCCTTCTCGAAGCCATGCCTGACAACACCTAACCACAGTGTCTACACATCTTTGCACTCTAACTGCAATTGCCCGAAAAGAAAGTCCAGCTTCCCGAAGTCCCATACGGCCCCCATCAAACTCACTAAGTTGACGAAATCGTACAATCACCGAACTGAGACAAAAGCTTCAGGAAATATGGGATTGTTTTACACCAAATTTTTGCCAAAACTTGCTTAACACTATGCCCCAAAGAATTTCAGCCGTAATAAAATTAAGGTGATGTTACCCAATGGTAATCTTTCAATTGTTGCTTTGTTAACTTCGCGCATTTATTCGCACATTGTTTATTTGTTCAGATGTTCTATTAGTTATAGGTCTAAGTGATTTCAAATATGTATTTTTTACGACTAGAGTGTATCTAAAATGTTTTTGAGAAAATAAATTGTTTTAGAAGTAAATAGTTTCGTCATGTTTAGTTTATAAAGGCATTTTGGTACAAATCTTGAAGTGGGCCAACTGAAGTGGGAAGGAGCTCGTATGATTGTTGACGTGTGAAAAGTGAAGGGAGTATATTATTGTTGTTATTCCTTTATCATCTTTATTTTCGTATTCAGGCATAAAAATAGCAACAGCTAAACTTTTATTATTATTGCTATTATTTCCTTTTATTGGTTTTACCCATTATGATTTCAGACCTTGAAGAGGTTTCAAACGACTAACAACACACGAAAATATCACTTTTTATTTCAGTCAGTGATCAAAATGCTGCCTGTCAGAGTTTGCCATCGATTTGTTTATAATTTAAAAGAAAAACTACCAACGTAAACAGCAATATCGAAGATTATACGTGGCAACAACCAAATAACAACCCGAATTTCTCCGCATTCCTTTCATCAACACAAATATCCTGGGTGACCTGTATTTATTGTTATAACTGTTTAGTTATTTGTCGGTAAGGGAAAGAAAGATATTAGTTTGCTGTCAGTTTTCTCGGGATAGTGAAAATTAATTTATTTATTCAGATTTTACTTCCAAAATGGTTTACACACTAGACGAAAGCGTGGAAATGCTTCTAATGTACGATGCCCAAAATCAATGTGCTCGGAAAACTGCCGACAAGTTTAACAACAGACATCCGAAGAAGATGACTTCGCCTATGCATGTTTTGGACCTACTTACTAAGTTTACTCAAACTGGGTCTGTTGCAAATGGAAAACGTGATCATCGAAGAGTTTTGGATGCAGCCGCTCAAGTTGAAGGTTTGAATCACTTCATTGCGCAAAATTGTTGTTGCGACTGGTATTTAATTAGACTCTGCACACACAGTTACTGAACTCCATAAATTTCATCCATTCAAACCGAAAATGTTGCAAGAGTTAGGCGAAGATGAAACCGAAAGGCGAGCTGAGTTTTATTAACAAATGACTGCAGAGATTAATGATAATACCATTCATGTAAAGAATATATGCTTTAGTGATGAATGCACATTTTCTCAAAATGGATTTATTAATAAGCGTAACTGCAGGTATTGGAGTAATGAAAATCCTCATGCTTTTGTAGAAAGGCATACCCAGTACCCGCAAAAATT